GGGTGTGAGATTCTATGGTTTTTGGACCGAAAAGACCATTCGGTCAAACTAGTCTGTGCCAGTTTTTATATTCCCCCCCACCACCCCACACCCATATTCCTCTATTCCCTTCTCCCTTATGGATGCATCATGTTTCCTCGTAAATGCACTGATGCTTTCTGCTTCAACCATGCCTTCCACATTCTCACCACCCTCTGTGTGAAGAAATTCCTCCTAATTCCTTTTGGATCTGTAGTGGCAGATTATTTTTTATGCTCATAAGGATTAAAAATAAAAAAAATTTTGGACTTGGATGTGTTTATGCCACTTCTACACACAGTCACTGCACTTTACAGTGTATCCTGTGAAGCGCTTTGAGACACCCACCTGGTGTGAAACCTGTTATATCAAATCATAGAATTATACAGCACAGAAGGAGGCCATTCGGCCCATCATGTCTGTGCCAGCTCTTTGAAAAGAGCTACCCAATTCAATCCCACTCCTCCACTCTCTTCCCATAGCCCTGCAAACTTGTCCTCTGCAATTATACAAGGATTTTTTATTATTATTATAGAATTCTTGTTACCGTGACATAAGGGCTGCTGAGGCATTAGTGTTAAAGAAATGAGCTATGAGGAAAGATCAGACAGGCCAAGACTCTTCAGTCTTGAGAGAAGATATCTTAAAGGGGACTTTTATATCCTGAGATGTCTTAATCTCTAATAATGCCATGTGCTGATGCGCATTGCTTAAGTTGGAAGAAGACAGCTCAGCATGTCTGTGAGGATACTGTCTGTATGCTCCTCAGCTTAAAATAGCCTTGTTTTCCTTGCATTCACAAATTTGGTTAGGATAAGCCATTTCACTGCTGTGTAGACAGACATTACGAAGGGCAGGAAGTTACAGCTCTGTTGTGGTTTTTGTTTGGAAGCTGACGCTGCTGAGAATATTGAACGTCATGAGTTGCAGGGTCTCTTGGTTGCTTTCTTTGGCAGATGATTTTTTACAGTTTCTCTGAAAGATCAGAGACTTGGATCCACGCACATTTGCTCGACTGACCTGAATTTATTCCGTGGAGAATTGGTTGTGTTTGCTTTTTACTTGGCCAGGTTTGTCCTGATGACAGGAAATTTGGGTAGAGGCTGGAATCTCTATTTGATGAGAAGATCTGTAAAACCTACGTCCATGAGCTCAGGGCTGGTGGGCGGAGTGGGTGCGGGAGGAGGGAACAGAGAGAGAGATAGAAAAGCCAGCCCAAACTCTAAGCGCCTCAAGAGACAAAGATGTGGTGGCTGTAGAATTGTGGCAGAGATGCAGACGGAGAGCCAAACTCAAAGAACTGGAGACATTTTAATGTAATCAAAGGTAAAAGAGGGAGGAAATAAGTTTGGGAGGAATAACCGTGGGAAAAAGCCTTGGTAGAGAGAGTTGGGGGGCGAGAGAGAGAGAGAGACAGAGAATTGCACAACACTCCATCACTTCATCTTTCCTTCCCCAATCTCTCATTAAACATTTCACAATGTACTTGATCAATACCATTTATGTTTTTTGACATGAAGACATTTTAGCAGAAAATTACATTCGACTATGTTTAATGTGTTAAACAATTTCTTCCCAAGTGACTGACATTGTGCAATGCTCCATTTAGCGCTGGCCAGATTCTCTATTCAAGGTGAAACAATCTGCATTGCCAGTAAAGCCTCCAATTCAGGGTTGCTAGGAGTCAAACACTGTAATACCATGGGTGTTTTCACATGTTATTGCGTTGGAACCAGAAAACCTCCTCAAATCTGTCATAAATTGAATATGGTGCAGTTAAGAGTTTTGCTTTTGGAGCTTACAGGACCTGGTTTAAGAAATATTAGGCATATAGTTAACATTTCTGTGCAGATTAAAAACACATGCTGACTACTCAGTCTAACGCCACAGCCACGCATCTTGTTGGTCAAAGCAACATTTCTGAAGCAAGTTTTTTTTTCTCTCTAAGCAGGCTGAAAGTGGCTTTAAATGTCACGATTTTACACTTTTCCCATTGGCGAAAGTCACGGCAAACATCTGTCACAAAATCTCCCTTGCTTCTGAGAAAATGAAGGTCAAATGGGAATTTGAGAGTGGGTGGGTGTATGGAGTGGGGGAAGGAAATCTGCTTATTTTGGGTGATGTGGTAAAATACTGACGTCACCACATCTTCTTGTGACTTGAATCACTATTTGGCTGATTTTTTTTTCCATTTTATTTTTGCCCCTTCACCTCTGAATGTGGGCTTTAAAATAATATGTTAAATATACAGAATGTAGGGTTCGAAGATGTTTGGGGAACTCCAGGATGCTTGCCACATCACTGTTTTGATGCTGGCTGAAGCATGCACATAATTTTACAGCTGGGACTAAGGGCAGATTTTCATCCCAGCTATCATGATTCAATTATCTACACTCTTCTGCCAACCGCCCACCAGTTGTTTATGGTGTGTTTTCTTTCAGCATATAATGGTCTATTCTTTTACCCTCCAAATGTCATTCAGACTGAGTATGAACTCTGTTGGGTCTCCAGTGCTGGTTTTGTGAATATTTAAGGTTATGACTCAATTGGTGCCTTGATATGTATGTATGTATGTATGCATGCATGGGAAGAAGAGAGGAGCTGGCAAGGAAAACTAAATGGGTTTAATAAGTGGATTTTGTGTGAGACAGGATGCAGTTTCAGGAAACAGCTGGGCTTGTGCTGCCTATTTACAAATCTCAAAGGGGATTTCCTTCCAAGAGGCGGAAGAAAATCCATGCATTATGCAACAGCACACAGAAATCCAAAAATGATCACCCCAACTAAAAATAAGCATCTCCTTTTTCCCTTCTGAATTAATAATAATCCTTGCATTTGATATAGTGCCTTAGCTCGTCATTGAGATGTCTCAAAGCACTTTACACAATATATTGTAAAGTGAGTTGACAATTAAAATAACCAGACCTCACACAAATTAAAATTCTTGTGGATCAACTGAGGATTTGTTGCTGCTGTGCTTTACTCCAACGAGAAATTTTAGACACAAAACATTTCAATTTGTCCTTCACTTGACTCGGATTACATGTGTAGACGAAGCATTGACATTAAACTGAAATGACATGGCATAACCTGCACAAATTGACGGTGGTATTTTATAAGCACAATGCTCAGCCTAATATAACCCTAAAAATAACTTTCACTGACACTATTTCACAAGTTTTCACTGGTGAGAAAAAAAAGATGCCAAAAGCATATTCCCATGGAATGATTCATTTGGATTCACATTTTCCAGCATTACGCATCCCTGGAAAACCTCTTACAAGGTTCAGTGGGAAATAGCAGCAATTTTCTTCAGTGGCACTCCCTGCACTGAAATGTGCGTGCTTGGTGGTGTTGGCTTTACCTGCTGCTTCTGACAGTTTCACAACAGTATAACTTTTCAAAAGACACATCAGTGCAGAGATCGGTGGGTCAGCTTTCATCCCGTATGTCTCTGATCTCTGGAACTCTCAAAACTCTAAATTGCATTGCGTTTGGTTAACATATTCACAATTCATTCTTATTCCTCTTTTTTCCCCCACCCCCGCTGCCTGTATAGACATTGGTTGCTGAGCCTCAGATAAATGCATAGCATAAAAAATGATTCATGAGAAAATAATACTTGCCTTTGATGTAGTGCCCGTAACTCAAATTTCTCGAAGCGTTTTACAATAATTACTGTGAAGTGTGGTGAATGCGCTTTTGCAGGGCAAACACGCAGCCAACTTGTACGCAGCCCCACAACACACATGGGGTTGAATGACCTATTTAACCGGAGGATTATTGACCGGGACGCTGGGAGAAGCTCCTTGTAGGAAGCTGTGGAGGGCAAGGTGGGATGAGGACGTAGCGGGAATGGAACACGAGGGTGAGGATCTTTAATTAATAATAAATAATAAGAATTCTTGCATTCGATATAGCACCTTATCACGTCGTTGAGACGTCTCAAAGCGCTTCATAGAATATATTGTGAAGTGGATCGACTTATTTTTGTGGGTGAAATGTGGCAACCAATTTGCGCACAGCAGTGAATTCACTGCAGATTGCACTCAATACGTCATGGCGACCTATTCAATGAAATCGCAGCAAAGCGGTTGAGAAACGACACCTGCACATCCGATTATTAAAACATTTTTTAAAAAATTGGTAAAACATTTTAGAAGCAAAGAAAAATAACTTAATCCTGAAATTTGCCAAGTTCAAAAACCGCTGTCAGTTTAAGTAAAATCTCAGACGTTTGTGAAATATCGTGACTATTTTTTCCCCCTACCCCAACCGACGACAAATTGCAACAAGAAAGAATATTGCTCTCAAAAATCCTGGTTCAATTATAATCATATTATTGGACAGCAGGAACAGTCTGCCTGGTCCAGCCATGCCTTTTAACAAGCTGGGTGGGTGTCGGATTCTATCGAGACCTGGAGTCTAACCGCAACAGAATTGCTGCTCTGGCCCGAATATACAGTGCTTACTGTACTGGAGGCAGAGTAAGCGCATGGACTGTGTGTGCTTTGTCCACGTGTACACTTACTACACAAGCCTGCACTTGACCCGCAGTCGAGAATGAATAAATAAAACTTTAATTATAACATTTCTGATGACTGAAAGCTTTGACGCATATTTTGCGTGAGATATTTAAACTGTAAAAGGTTCTTGCTCTCACATATACTGTCAGTGTGACGCATTCCAAATGTAATGTGCATATAACTTTACCACACAAAGTATGTATAACTCTCTCACACACACACACACACACACACAGTCCCAGGTCTTCACTCTTAACTTCCTAAAAAAAAAGTGAGATAAAGGAGCCTGACTGCTAATCAGGACAAATTGAAACTTAGTTGCTCAAATACTTTGATAACAGTTTATATCCCAGAAAAATTATCAGAAAGTCAGTCTCCTCCTGTCTGCTGCCTCTGCTGTGCACCCTTTGATGCTCTTTGCTTCTTTATGAGTTATTTTCATAAGTGATTTCTTACCTTGTCCCCAGGCAGTGGCCTCATCAGAGATACTTGATCGTAGCCTCTGCGAAAAAGAGCCCACAAGGCATCCAATTTGCCCTAGATAAACACACACACACAATGTCAGGTCCCAGGATTTACACTCACTGAGGAAAAACATTCCACTGCACTTTACTCCAGGGGATGTAAAAGAATGATTCATGGCTATTCCACATTCATCCTATTGTCACCTTTAAGCCATGCATTGAATGCAAGATGTTTGTTGTTGCTTTCAAATGCCACCGTGGCTTCACTCCACCCAACGTCTGTTATTTACTGAGCCGACTGCAACCTCCTCTCAATAAAGCAGGTGGGAAAGCTTGCAGCCATTTCCCTCTCACCCCTCACCCTGCTCTGAACCTGCATTCCAGAGTCCTTCCGTCTTGTACTCCTGCACAACCTATGTTGATGACTCAAGATGGTTTTAGCAATAGATTGTGATGACATGGTTGGCGAGTGCCAAAGCTGAAACTATTTCACAGCACAAATGTCCGCACGAGTCTCTTGAGCTGCCCAAGTGGAAAATTGTGGCCCCAAAAATTAACTCCATGTTTTAAAACTTTTCTCTTGCAATTTAGTATTTACACTTTTGATGTCGTTCTGGGCCAGTTTGTTCTGGGAAAAAAAATCTGATCAAATAGCTAATGTGGTTCAATAGCATTTTGCATAAAATTGCAAGTGTTGTTTCCTCTTATTTTTTCCAAAAAAAAATACTCAAACCAGACTAGAACTTCTTCCAAATCAGAAATTCTGCCAAAAGTGCAATGTGTACAACAAGGAGTCATAAATTACCTTTACTGGGGTGTACCATTTCCTTTGTTGGGGGAGTTTCCGTCCACGTTTAAATGGCTTGGGATCCAGGGGCTCAAACTCTTGGTCTGGCATTTTGACAACGGCGTTTTTAGGTTTCTCCAGTTTTGCACCCTCTTCTGTCGAACCTTTGTCCCCCCAACGCACCTGATCCAAGAAACACAGCAATTACACCACAGATTAAGGAAACTTGCCTAAGGTTTCGCACTGCCAGAGAATCAAACCTGCTCCACCAAGTAAAGTGGTTGAGGCAGAGTCCATTGTGCGTCAAGAGGGAAGTAGACAATATATGAAGGGTAAAGGAGTATAACCTGAGGGCAGGGTAGTGGGATTGAATGAACACTTTGCTCTGAGAGCAAACTCGATGGGCTGATTTGCCACCTTTTGTGCTATAAATTTCCATGAAGATTCATCTTAGGATTCAACAACAACAAAATTACATTTGTATTGTACCTTTCACATCGGGAGGACGTCCCAAGGCACTTGACAGTCTTTCGGACATAAGCTGGGGATCGGGGAGGATGGAGAGTAGGGGGCTGATCGAAGGTATGGTCGAAGACGAGGGTCTTGAAGGAGGCAAGGGAGGGAGCGAGATGGAGAGACTGAAGGTGGAGTTCCAGAGGGTGGGGGCAGAGTGGCTGAAGGCCCACCCACCAAAGGTGGGTTGAGCGAGGCGGGGGATGTGAAACAGGCCAGAGTCCGCTGAGGGGAAGGAGCAGGCAGGTTGGTAGGGGTTTAGGAGGTCGCAGAGGTAGGGGGGAGCAAGGCCATGGAGGGCTTTGAAGGTGAGGACCAGGATCTTGAACTGCATCCTCTGTGTAATGGGAAGCAAATGGAGTCGGGAGAGGATGGATTGATAGGGTCATGGAGCCTGGTGCGGGAGAGGACACGGGCTGCAGAGTACTGGATGATCTGCAGCCTATGGAGGGAGGAGTTGAGGAGGCCAATAGCCTTTGTATAGTTAAGTTTGTATAGTCAAGCCTGGATTCAAATAGCATCATGCAAATCAATGTATTTAAGAGAAAATTCAGAAAGCCAGGGAGCAGAATATTTTTAAAAGAAATAATAATAATAATTCATGGCTTGCATTTGATATAGCGCTTTTCACATCTTCTCGATGTCTCAAAACACTTCACAGAATAGACTGTAAAGTGAATTGACCGTATATTTGTGGGCAAAACGCGGCAGCCAATTGCGCACAGCAATGTCCCACAAACAGTCGTGGATTGAAAATGACCAATTTATTATTTTTTTTGTTTTGGAGGGATATTTTATTAGGCGTGTGGAGTAAGGAAACTTGCCCAAGGTTTCACCCTGCCTGGAATTGAACCCAGGTGTCTCGCTTGCAAGGCGAGTGCTCTAACCACTGAGCTACAGGATTCCACAGGTTAAGTTACAGTTATGGTTGGATCTGAGATATAATTTTTAGACACTGCTGGTTAGATTGTTGAATATTTCAATGAGAGTACTCGGGTTCGATTCCCAGACGGGGTGAAACATTGGGCAAGTTTCCTTACTCCACACACCTCTGTTTACCTAGCAGTAAGTAGGAACCTGATTGTTAGTTGATTGGTCGATTGCTTTAATAAACCCTCGGGGGAAAAAAAAGTATTGGGTCATTCAATCTATGACCGTTTGTGGGACACTACTATGCGCAATTTGCTGCCACATTTTGCCCACAAAACACAGTCCATTCATTTTGCAGTATATTCTGTGAAGCGCTTTGAGATGTCTCAACAATGTGCTGAAGTTCTATATCAAATGCACGACTTATTATTGTTAAAATAGCTAATCTAGAGTAATTTACGATAACTGTGAAATGTTCCGTTGTTAATATCTTTTCAACATCATCTTAATCCCAATAAATGTGCTCGTAATTTGTTGGACATATGCAAACATCATTAAAAGCATCTGTAATGTACGGCAGAAAATTTGTTTTCAATTAATGAAACTGAAAACGAGAAGGAAAGGCAAAATGTGTGGACCAGGGCATGGTAAAGAGCAAGGCTGTGGGCAGCTTTGAAGGGAAAAACAAAGGGGCTTGAAATAGCATTGATTAAATAACAATAATCCTTGCATTTTTATACAGCTCCTTATTACGTCATTGAGATGTCTCATAGAATTTACTGTAAAGTGGAGTGACTGTGTGCGCTTTGTGGGCGAAATGCGGCAACTTTGCAAGGATTCATATTGAATCATTGGCTTTGGCCTCCAAGTCTGTGCACATGATGTGTAACAAGTTCACTCGTCTCTATTTACTGTTAACCCGATGCTATAATTGTTAAAGCCCCAGAATACATGATTTGCTGCACAGATATGATTCTGCACGGCAGCAGGCTATTCAGCTCAACTAGCCTGTGCCAATGTTTATAATCCACATGAGCCTCCACCCCTCCTACTCCCGTCTCCTATACCCTCTGTCACCTTCTCCTTCGCCTGTCCATCAAGTTTCTTTTTAAAAACATTGATACTTTTTGCTTCAAACACGGCTTCTGGAGGTGAGTTCTACAGTCACACCATGCTCTCTTGGTTGAAGTTCCTCTTAAATTCTCTATTAGATCTGTTACCAGCTGTCTTATATCAGGAAGCACTTTTTCACACAAAGGGAAGTGGAAATCTGGAACTCTCTCCCCCAAAAGGCGGTGAATGCTGGATCAATATGAATTTCAAGACTGAGGTCATTAGATTTTTGCTAGGTAAGTGTATCAAGGGATACGGAGCAAAAGCAGATAAATAGCTAATCTAGAGTAATTTACGATATCCGTGATCTAATAGAATGACGGAACAGGCTTGAATGCCCTACTTGTGTTCCTATGCCCTCTTGTTCTGGACTCACCAACAAATGGAAACAAACTGCCAACATCCACCTTATCCATGTATGCGGACAACGCCCAACTCTACCTCTCTGCCTCCACGCTCGACTCCAGGACCACTGCTGTCCTGACAGAATGTCTGTCAGACAGCAAGTCCTGGATGAGAGCTAACTTTCTGCAGTTGAACGTCAACAAGACCCAGGCTCTCCTGATTGGTTCCCATCAGCACCTCCACACCTCAGGCACTGACAACATCACCATCCAGAACTTTGGTGTCTTGTTTGACACTCAACTATCCTTTCCATCCCACATCCATGCAATGACCCGCTCTGCCTTCCCCCACCTCCGCAACATCGCCCGGCTCCGCCACTGTTTCACACCACAAACCGCTGAGACCCTCATACATGCATTCATAACATCCAAGCTCGACTATGCAAACTCTCTGCTTGTCGGCCTCCCCAACTCCTCCCTTTGTAGGCTGCAGATCATCCGCAACTCTGCAGCCCATGTCCTCTCCCACACCAAACTCCGCCATCACATGCATCCTCGCCTGACTCAACTGGCTTCCTATCACTTGGGAGGATATATACAGTTCAGATCCTGGTCCTCACCTTCAAAGCACTTCATAGCCTTGCTCCCTCTATCTTTGCGAACTCCTAACCCCCAAACAACATCCCCATTCCTTCCGCTCAGCGGGCTCTGGCCTGCATCATGTCCCCCGACTTGCCCGCCTCACCATTAGCACGTGGGCCTTCAGACACTCTACTCCTACCCTCTGGAACTCCATCCCGCAGTCCCTCCATCTTGCCCCCTCCCTTGCCTTCTTCAAGACCCTCCTCTTCGACTGTGGCGCCGATCACGCTCCTTCCCTCCCCTGCACTCCACCCTCCCCGATCCCGAGCTCGGGCCGAAACATTGATTGTCCAGTGCCTTGGGACGTCCTCCTGACTTGAAAGGCGCTATCTAAATGGTCATTTTGTTGGCGTCGTTCTTATTATCAAATTCTATCGTAATTTTAACCACCTCTATCGGGTCCGTTTTCAATTGTCTTGCATTGTTTTCCAAAAAAAGTTCCCCTTGGACTATATTCTCCTCAGAAAGCAAAAATTGAAAATCAAACGTTTACGGCCCTCATTATTAATATTTTTATGACACAGTCTCTCAGTGCTGAGTGCCAGCCCATTTCACATCAAGCACGTTATTAACATTCTGCATACCTTCATGTGCTGTTCCTGGCTTTCATTTAAATTCATATTATTTGTACAAAGACTCCCTGTAACTAGAAAGATTTTCCTATCGCTGCTGGACACTTTTCCACTGCTATATTGTTAAGAAGCCATTCCGCCCCCCCATTCCCACCCTTGTTTTGGCACAATTTAACAAGTGTGTGCTTGTGCAAGTAATGCATTGCTAAGTAACTGGATCCACAAGATCACCTGTGCAAAGAGGTTACAGTCCAGATTCCCTCTTGTACACTGCAGCCACAAAGCAGGTTTGCATCTGCTTCTGGTGTTTCTAAAGAGAACTCCAGGACATTTCTACTGGAATTTGAGAGGAGGAATTGCCAATCTATGTCAGCCAGAACAGGTGGCTTGCATGACCTGCCAGTCAATTTTCCCTTACTTTGATGTATTTTGCCCCAAAATATACAGTCAATTCACTTTACAGCATGTTCTGTGAAGCGCTTTGCGACATCTCAACAGCGTGATAAGGCGCTACATCAAATGCGGGATTTTTCTTACATGTTAGAAGCAAAGTTCAAATAAGCATTCAGTGAATTTATTGATAACAATAATAATTGCATTTGATAAAGTGCCTTATGTCATCGAAACATCTCAAAGTGCTTCACAGAATTTTTACCGTTAAGTATGGTGACTGTGGAGTCCTGTAGCTCAGTGGTTAGAGCACTCGTTTTGCAAGCGAGAGACCTGAGTTCAATTCCAGGCAGGGCAAAACCTTGGGCAAGTTTCCTTACTCCACACACCTAATAATAATCCCTCCAAAAACAATAATAAATTGGTCATTTTCAATCTACGACTGTTTGTGGGACATTGCTGTGCGCAATTGGCTGCCGCGTTCGCCCACAAATATACTGTCAATTCACTTTACAGTGTGTTCTGTGAAGCGCTTTGGGACGTCCTCCTGACGTGAAAAGCGCTATATCAAATGCAAGGATTATTATTATTATTATTACATATTTGGAGGCAAATGTGACAGCCAATTTGCACACAGCAGTGTCTCACACACAGCCCTGAAATGAATAACTAATTTTATCTGGAGAATTGTTGGCCAGGACACCAGGAGAAACACGCTTTAATGTCAGGAGGGCATATCAATATATGCCACAGGATTTACTGTAAAATGTAGTGTTTGTCTTTTGTAGGCGGATGCAGAAGGCAATTTACACATAGCTGTGTCCTTGAAGTAAATAACCAATTTTATCTGGAGGATTGTTGGTCAGAACACTGAAGGAAACGCCTCTCTCTTTTTCAAATGGATCTTAAATATCCATTTGAACAGGATAATAATAATAATAATCCTTGCATTAGATTATGTGATTCCAAGCCGCGACGTGGGACTTGAACCCACAACCTTCTGACTTGGAGGCAAGAGTGCTACCACTGCACCAGGCTGACAAACAATACCTTAACAGATGCAGCCAGTGAAGGTATCTTAAATATTTGCTGCTCTTTGCAAAACAGCAGTTTATTTTTGCTGACAGTGGAAGCATAGAAGTAAGCAGGAAGTTACCTCCATCCTTTTTATACCGCCCACTCCTCTTCCCCCATAGTAGGATGCGTCAACTGTTGGCCATTTTTTCTTCGGCATTGATTCATCGTCAGAGTCCTTTGGTAAGAACATAATAAAAGTCAAATAATAATATTAATCCTTGCATTTGATATAGCGCCTTATGACGTTGTTGAGACGTCTCAAAGTTCTTCACCGAATATACTATAAAGTGAATTGACTATATTTTTGGCGAAAGACAGCAGCCAATTGTGCACAGCAGTGTATAATGGATTATAGTATAATAAAAATTATAATCGTCGCATTTTATATCGCACCTTATCAAGTTATCGAAGGCTCAAAGTGCTTCACAAGATTGATGGTAAAGTAGATTGAACAGTGGTTCAAATTTTTTTTTAAAAAAAGAAGTAATATAATTCTAAGTATTTGACATTTTTATAGTGCCTTTCATGTCAGGAGGATGGCTCATAGCCCATCAAAGAGGTTTGGATAAGCTGGGTGGGGAGTTGGGGGAAAGTGACCAAAAACACGGTTTTAAAAAAGTAAAGTCTTCAGGAGGGCTTTAAAGGTGGGGAGAAGAGGGTAGACATATCAGTAAGCAGAGACAGAAAGCTCCCCCACCAATGGTGGGGTGAATCAGGCAGGGCACCTTATGCAGGCTGATGTTCGCTGGGTGGCTAGGGTGGGCGGGTATGGGTGCAGGAGGCTGCAGAGGTTGGGTAGGGTGAAGTTGCGGAGGGATTGGAATGAGGAATTGAATTCCACCCACGTCACTTTTCCATAAACCCGTTCAGTCAGTTGAAGCAGATCTGAAACAGCAAGCGGTTTCACGCTGCTACAAAAGGCTCAAGTAAAAACCAAAGGAGATGTTCAGCCCCAGGCAAAAGAAAGGATTTCTGTGTCTTTCTTGCGACATAACGTCCAGGAAAAAAGCCAGCAACAGCTAACATTTGGCATTTGCCAGATTCAGGACTGATTCATATTACTATTTTCAAGCGCATGTATATGCATTCAGGCCAAGTAGTTCTGATAATTCAAGGCAAAGGGAAACCATTATGTGAAGACAAACAGCATATTATACTCGTGTCTGCTCTGCCTCTGTGATGGTTGCTGAGACACACACAGACCTCCCTGTAGATGTTTCAATTTGTACTTTTTTTTTCCAGTACAGGACACAAGTGAACTTCAGTGGCAGAGTATCACAAAGACCTTTTGCAAGGCACTGTGTTAAGATCTTTGACCCTTGCCCTTTCATATAACCCACTCAGCACAAGCAGACAATTCTTCCATGTGCCTTGAACTCTTGCTCTCCTGCCACTCGCACATGTTATTTTGCTGGGCCTCTGATATTTAACTGCACCACACAAACCAAACTGAAGTAGAGGTAATTATATATGATTAATAGCCATGCCTGGGCTCTACTTATCACAAACCTGTATCTCTATCCTTGTGGATTCAGAAGAGGTGGGCTTTAGTAAATTCGGGACTCGGATAAAATGACAGCGATACAGTAAAATTCACAAGCTGTATTAGATGAGCCATAGCACGTAATATGACTTACGCAAAGTCCGAGTTGCAGGCAAACTATATAATAAGTCGTAGAAAATCCGATTTAATCAATCATCTACACTGAGTAATTCAATGCAGCCGGTAAGTGCACATACGGTGATGGATCAAGACTACATTTCCTGCAATTCAATGCGTCTTGACCCATCACCACATGCGCACATACCGGCAAGTGTTGGAATCGCATTGAATTGTAGGAAGTGAAGTTCTGCACGTGGGTCAGTGGATTACTGTGTGTCCCGCAATTCAATCCAGCCGGCCGGGAAAGTGCGCAAGCGTCGATGGGTCAGGATATTCCTGCGATTATCCTAATCAGCGAAAAGAAATCTAAATGGTTTTGATAGGAAGCTGAACGGGGCTCAGGTGAATGTACAACTTTGTGATTTTACGATTTAGAAAGATAAGACTCGTGCGAGCTTCACTGTACTGTGTTCATATAAAAATCTCACTGTTAAACCCATAGTTGAAGAAAATAACCAAACGAAAAGAAAGCATTACTTACATCTGAGGGGAACAGTGGAGGAGGCGGCCCTTTGATAACCTAGGACAAAAAATAACAGTTTATTACTAAATAAATTGTGGCTTGTTGTGTCAGTGATAGTAACTAGCACTAAAAAAAGAAATTGGTCATTTTCTATCCACGACTATTTGTAGGACACTGCTGTGTGCAATTGGCTGCCGCATTTCACCCAAAAACTTTACAGTCTATTCTGTGAAGTGCTTTGAGATGTTTAGATGATGCAAAAAGCGCTATAATCAAATGCAAGTATTATTACTATTAACTGTACAGTAATCATTAACATTTTAAAATTACACATAACTGATGCATTGCCAAGAGACCTTTCAATACTATAAAGAGAGAAAGAGATATTTGTAGGTGAACGTAGCTGCAATTTATACTCAGCAATGTTTCACAAACATCCATGAAGCGAATCTCCAAATCTATTTAGAGGATTGTTGGCCAGGATACTGGGAGAAACTCCCTTCTCTTTTCGAATGTGCCATAGGATCTTTTAACATCACCTAACCAGGCAGACGGGACCTCAGTTTAACATCTCATTCAAAGGCTGACAGTGCAGCACACCTCTAGCACTGAGTCGGAGAGTCATCTAGATGTGAATTTAAAATCTCAATGCAGGGCTTGAACTCACAACCTTCTGACTCAGAGGCGAGATTCCTACCAACTGAGCCAGCCTGACACTTAGAATATAATAATAATCCTTGCATTTGATATAGCGGCTTATCACGTCATTGAGATGTCTCAGAGCGCTTCACAGAATATATTGTGAAGTGGATTGACTGTAACATTTTGTGTGCGAAACCCAGCAGCCAATTGCACACAGCAGTGTCCCACAAACAGTCATGGATTGAGTGCCCAAGTATATAGAATGTATTATAATGTATAATATACACACAAACAGATGTCCGTGCGTGCAAATGTTTTGCTTCTGGTAAATGAATAATTCCACACAGCAATTATGTCCGGAGATATTTTATTTCTCCTCATAATCTGGAATGATTGGGCAAAAAATATCATCTAAAGCAGCGACTGAGAGCTTACCACAGTGCAACACAGAGGCCAGAACCACCACAGCAACATCAACACCAGGAGCAGCAACAAGACCAACAGTGAAATGAATAGGATTGTTCCGTCAGACTAATGATTAAAAAAACAAACAGTTTAGCAAAAGACATTGTTTGAAGAAAAATGTACAATTATACAGGGTGAATCAAAAGTCCTTACTCATAGGTATCATAGAATCTTACAGCACAGAAGGGAGCTCATTCAGCCCATCGAGTCTGTGCTGGTTCTTTGAAAGAGTTACCAACTAGTCCCACTCCCCTGCTCGTACCCCACAGCCCTGCAATTTTTTTTTCCTTTTTCAGTACCTATCCAATTCCCTTTTGAAAGCTGCTATCGAATCTGCTTCCACCACCCTTTCAGGCAGTGCATTCCAGATCGTACCAACATCCCTGGGTAAAAAACAATTCTCCTTGACCCCCCACCCCACTTCTGTCTTTTTTGCCAACTATCTTAAATCTGTGTCCTCCAGTTACCAACCCACCTCAGAGGAAACAGTTGCTCCCTATTTACTCTATAAAACCCCTCATAATTTTGAACACCTCTATTATAGCTCCCCTTCACATTGTCTGCTTTAAGGAGAACAATCCCAGCCTCTCTAGTCTCTCCACATAATTGAAGCCCCTCTAGATTTATATAAGATGTTCAAACTGCTTGCCAATGGAGACATTTATACATATCAACTCAGTGACAAGAAGGTTCACAAACACAATGAATGACATCTCCTGTAATAACTGCACACTCTCTAAGAATGATGTCTTTTTAAAAAAAAGTGATTAGTAATTAAACGCTCTCGAAGTAAGTACTTTTGATTCACCCTGCATATAATGGGTCTTAAAAACACTGAAATAAAAAGTTATGAGAAGCAAGGCATTCAGAAAAGAGAAAAAAGACTGATGGTATTTGCAATTCAGCTTGAAATATGTAACAGCTGGACCGTGCCAGGGAAAGACATAGAAACTTACTCAAAGGAAGATAATCAGAGAAGAAGCGTGAGCTGAGCAGAATTTCTTTAGGACCCTTCAATAAATAGGAGGCCTCAGAGAAGAGAAAGAAACCAGCTCTGCAAAGATGAATGAGTGAGTCTATCAGGTGAAAAGGTTAAATGGAAAGATCAGAAAGGAAGAAATCAGTCGAGAGTACAAGAAGGGTTTGTTCGACACTGAGAGGCAGACAACCAACACCTTTTTGGTTCAATGTTTGTGACACTGAATCCTGCCATTGACATACTTACACAGTAGCTGCTGGTTTCTACCTTTCTTACTAGTTGTTTTTACAACACAGTTACATTTGTATAGCACTTTTAATGTCGGAGGGACGTCTCAGCTTAGCAATATTGGCTGTGCACCCAAACTGGGGTTGGGAGCCAGGGGGGAAGGGAAAGAGATCGAAATCATTTTCAGATGAACCTTACCTGCATGTTGAATAATTGTTTCACTCCAACCTACTAAACATTAAAAAGTTAATGGGAACAGAACACTGCTATCTATTGGATGATGAGTGAGCAATGAGAGAGAACATATTTAAGGTTCATCACAAATATTTGTAGGTCACGCCGGGGTGAGGGTGGGGGGTGGCAGCAAGTTTGTCCTGATTACATTTTGTGCAGATATTTATTTTCTCACTAATGTTTATGACATTGAATCGTGCCATGGACATACTTACACAGTAGATGCTAGTGATGCTGACAGAGCTGGAGATGAATGTTAGTCCATGATTCATGCTCACTTGAAGATAAACCACCCTTAAAGAAAAAGAAACATCAGCCTTCATTGATGACGCAATAAGTTTGCTTAAGGTGAGCACATTGAATTTCACACAGGCGCAGTCTGGATTAAGGCTGTTCGGCGATTTTTCACAACCTTGCGCTTTTTAGGTCATAAAACATTTGGATTCACAACCAACAGTGAAATAGCATTTCAACTTCAGTAAGCGAGTTCATTGAAACCAGTCCTTTGGTGGCTAAAGTGGAACATGGGACAGAGGATTCCTTTATAGGATGGTTCTGGGATTTCTGCAGTAAAGAGAGCAGAAATGAGATTGATAGACTTTCTAAAAGCGATACTCACAGCTCAAAGAAAATTCACCCCATCCCCAACCTCGCAGGCTCTGCTCGCTCTGTGTCCCAATAGATTGACTTCATTGTCCTCATTCTAACTTTCAATTCCCTTTCCAAACTTGCCCCTCATTAGCTCTACAATTCCCTCAAGTCCTTGCCCCTCCTTATCTCTGCAACTGCCTGCAATCCTGTTCTCCTGCCCATGCCCTTCACTCTAATGACTATTGCTGATTCTTCATCCCTCAGTCCAACCATTAGTGGTTGAGCCTTCAAACTCTTATGCCTTCACACTGTGGAACTCTCTGAATCAGAAGGTTGTGGGTTCAAGTCCCATATCAGGACTTGGATTCACATAGTTTAAGATGAGACTCCAATGTAGTGCTGGGAGAGCATTGCATTGGCAGAGGAGCCATTCTTCGGATGAGACGTTGAACTGAGGTCCTGTCTGCCTGTTCAGATGGACATTAAAGATCCCTTGACACTATTCAAAAAGAGAAGGTTTCTTCCAGTGTCCTACTCAACAAATTCCCCCAAATAAAATGGGTAATTCACTCCATGGCTGTTTGTGGGACATTGCTATCCGCAAAGTAGCTGTCACATTTTGCCCACAAAATACACAGTCAATCCACTTTACAGTATACGCTGTGAATCAATTTGAAAAATCTCAATGAAGTGATAAGGTACTAAACCAAATGGCAGGATTTTTATTGCTATTATAAGATTTGAGATTTGAGGTTAGCACAAAACAGAGAGAAAATGTCGTACAATGAACGATCTAGACTGAAAAGGGAATATTGCAATATGTCATTCCTTTAAAACATGGGCTGATCTGTAGAAAACTCATAGGTAAGCAGGGTGTGTCCCTCCAGGGGGAGAGTGAGCATTCCATTCCAGACACTGGAATTTCCACGTGCAGGTGGCATATGCGTGGAGACCTGTAGCTCAGTGGTTAGAGCACTTGCTTTGCAAGCGAGAGACCTGGGTTCAATTCCAGGCAGAGGGCGAAACCTTGGGCAAGTTTCATTACTCCACACAGAGCCTAATAATAATCCCTCCAAAACCAAAAACAATAATAAATTGGTCATTTTCAATCTACGACTGTTTGTGGACATTGCTGTGCGCAATTGGCTGCCGCGTTCGCCCACAAGTATACAGTCAATTCACTTTACAGTGTGTTCTGTGAAGCGCTTTGGGACGTCCTCCCGACGTGAAAAGCGCTATATCAAATGCAAGGATTATTATATGTGAGACTGTTTGGTTTGGAAACCCTAAAGCATGGTCATGGATTTCTGGATATGTCAGAGACCCAGCTGACCAAAAACAATTATTTACTTGGAAGGTGGTTAGAATTGCAGGAAACCAGGTGCCATATTATGAGCTATTTTTTAAAAATTCTCCAAATTGTGCATGACCTTCAATTTTAAGGCAATGGTTTTAAGGCTACGACCATTAGCAATTGCAGGTCTTAGAACTAAGGGCAACTGATGAGTGTGGATCAGCAAATTGCAAACATGCGATTTTGACATGAGGAAGGATGGCTTTGAATTATCATATGTTATCCACTTGGCACCTGGCAGTGCTGTAGGATGTAAATTCAGCTCCAGTGAACGTGATTTGAATTGAACTCTCTGCTTGTGCTATAAATGAGGCTTCAAAGAAAGGGCAGCTGTCAACAACATCAGAGACCATTTGAACCACATCAACCAACAGTGACATTTGAGAGGAAGGTGGCAAACCTTGAATTTTCTTGACCTTCCTAAAAAATAAAATGATTGAGAATGATTCAATGTTGACGGAAGGAGGCAGAGATTGGTTTAAGTATGAAGAGACAGCCACTCATTGTAATTCGATAATTTTACTGATTTTAATGATTTGACGTAACGACTTTCATGTCGAGAGGACGTCTCAAAGCGTTTCACAGGACCTACAGTGGTTGTGCATTTTGTAGGGAACGAGGCAGCCAATTTGCGCACATCGATCTCCCCCACAAACACCCATGAAGTGAATGACCAATTTCATTTGGGGGATTGCTGGCCAGGACATAGGAAGAAACTCTCTTTTTGAATAATGCCATGAGATGTCCACGTGAACAGGCAGACGGCAGCTCGGTTTAATGTTTCGTCTAAATGACGACACCTCCGCCAATGCAGCACATCCCCAGCACTGCATTGGAGCATCAGCCAAGGCTACAACTGTTCAAAGTTCTGATGTGAGGTTTGAACCCACTTACTCAGAGGCAAGTATGCTACCAACTGAGCCAGGCTGATACCTGTAAGTTGACCATTTTTTTAAGGAACGCAGGATTGTTGGCAGGGGATGCACAGACCACCCATATAAGTGAACCCATGTTATAATGAAGCTTATTATTCATGGGGGGGCGTTATCTACTGAAGCATATGTACTAATTTACTGGCATAAATCTTTTTGGTTTTGTCTGTTTAAAGTTGACAACCCGATGTGAAATGTTAAGCTGCAAAATTCCGGTATCAGGAATTTATCTTGGTCGTGTTTGTGGCACCTGAAATGCACTGTTGATGAGAACGAATGGAAGTTAACAGTGTGTCGTAATAAATAATCTGAAGGTCTGTGATTTATTTTGATGTATTGGAACTCAGTGAAAGTGGAATGACTGTATTTTGTGGACAAGACGCATCAGTCAATTGCGCACAGCGTGGATTGAGTGCACAAACAGTTGGGGATTGAGTGACCCAATTTTTTTTTAGGGATTATTACCCCTGGAAAGCGATTCGCCAATCGACTAACAACCAGTTTCCCTCTTACTGCTAGCTAAATAGAGGCATGTGGAGGGACAAAACTTGCCTGAGGCTTCAGACTACTTCCTGTGTGCATGTGCTGTGACGTCACCCATCACATGATCGGTGGAAACATTGACCAACAATCATGCTCGGTTGAAACACTGGCTGGGATTTTATGGACCCACAATTAAAGTGTTTTAATGGAGCTGTACTGCATTTAAAATGAGCAAAAGCCACAGCCACAATGCAGCACTGGAAATGCTCGCACGAAAATTAACTCTTTATGAATGAAAATATTAACAACTTGTATCGTGCTTAGCATTAGACAGCAGAGGTCAACAACCAAGAGAACAACGTTAGCGTCAAGAAGCAACTCTTTTTCTTTGCAATTTAATTTACTGTGCCATAAAACAAGTAGCAAACAGTGCACATTTCCAAGCCATTACTTTTCTCAAAGAAGGCAAACAAGTGTAAAATACAGTTGCAGGGAGCATTTTAGATGTTTAAAACTATTCTCAGAATGCAGTTTGCAGAAGGCAGAACTCAGGGCTATGTGAAGACAGTAAATGTCTTTCTCTCTCTCTCTCTCTGTAACCCTCTTAAGCCTCCGGCTACCTATCAATCAATGCCCAGCAGACAGTGGAAGCACATTCCAGTTTAAGGGCAAGCAGACCGAGACAGCAGTGGGAGGGAGCTTGAAGTTGAAACCTTACAGCTGTAAACACGCAACTTCTCAGCTACTGCTAACAATATTGGACAACGGGCATCTCTGTGAAAGCCATTACCTCGACTGCAGGTGCAGCAAAGGCAGCGTTGGGTTCAGATTCAGTCTCGACAAGCAAAGTCTCACAGGAAAACCACAGTTCCATCCTGTCCAGTAATCCCAACATTACAGCAACTCAGTTCTTTGGTTAACCATAGCCCGAAGATGACATAAAGCTGAGTTTATGGATTTTTACATTTTCTTTGCACTGATCAACTCCCACAAAATTGTTGGTAGTTATTCCACTTCAGAGTCAACAGTGTCACCATAGACTGATGGAGGGTTCATATGGTTTTGATTTGTTGACACAGTACATGAATGGGAATGATTCTACTGCAGCAAGGATCATATAAGGTTAACCGTTCCTACTTGCGCAGTTCCTGCATCTGAAGAAGTAACGTGAATCTTACATTGAGAACTTGTGCTAACGTCTAATAAATCCCAAGCTACCCAGGTCTCTAAAAACGTAACTGACCCTATTTATTTACCACAATGGTAGCCACGTTGCATTTTATTATTTTATTTTTCTTAAACATTCTCCATCAAACCCTCCTTGGCTTGTTCCATCCTTCCCTATCTTTAGGTCGTGACTTCCTCTTCGACCGTGCCTATGGTCACCTCCCCTCTCCCCCCTGGATCGGCACCATGCTCTGCCACTGTCAAGCGCTCTGGGACGATACCTTGCATGAGGGGCGCTATGTAAATGCAAGTTTTGTTGTTTATTTTATTTTATATAAAATGAAAAGCCTTTAAACAAGACTTGCACACTTTGCTGAATTGAAGTACAAGTTATAAGATACAGTTGCACATTTGCAGAGGTGAACAATGAGGTTGTCATGTTCAGGTTGTAATTTCTGCATCTGCTGACTGGGGTGGGATCTTTGCTTGGCAGAGGCTTACAACAACGTCAACATTTCTATAGCACCTCGCGTGTAAAAGAAATCACTTGAAGCGCTTCACAGAATGACATTAATTGAAAGTGAATGTCACGGAGGCAAATGTGGCAGCTAATGTGCGCCAGCAACACCCTACAAACATCAATGAGATGTGCAACAAATTAATTATTGTTAATAATTATAATAATAATAATCCTTGCATTTGATATAGTGCCTGATCACGTCATTGAGACGTCTCAAAGAGCTTCACAGGCTATACTGTAAAATGCATTGACTGTCTATTTTGTAAATTAATTAAATTTTGTGGGGTGAATATGGGTGAGATGAGAATCTAATAATAACAATTAATAATCCTTGCAGTTGATATAGTGCCTCTCACATCATCAAAACATCTCACTTCACATTTACTGTAAATTATAGTGACTATGTATTTGCAGTAAAACATGGAAGCCACTTTGAACACACAGTCAGGACAATGGGAGGGAGATAATTTGAAACAGTGACAGGAAAAGCCAAGGTCCTGAACTAATAGCTAAAATTGAAAAGCAATAATGATCTGGGGAAAAAAAACATAAATATGGAATGTAAAGAAAGGTGAAGTGAATGTAGTTCAGACCTCTGGTATTTTCCTATTTAAGCACTTTGAGACGTCTTCCCGATGCGAAAGGCGCTATATAAATGGAAGTTGCATTGACCACACAAAAGCAATACTTGAATTCCATTCAACCACAATTAATAACAATTCTTGCATTTGATGTAGCGCTTCAAAGGATATAATGATGAAGTGTAGTGTTTTGCAGACAGTCAGTTTGGGCACAACCCTGTCCCCCATAAAAAGTAAATGAAAATGGACCAATTTAATCTGTTGGAAGATTGTTGGGCCTGAACAGGTAGACGGGATCTCTGTTTCGCGTATCACTCAAAGGATGACACCTTCAACCTTCCCCTAGCACTATATTGGAGTGTCAGCCTCGATTAGATTCAAAGTCCTGATGTAGAGCATGAACCCACAACTTCCCAACTCGGAGGCGAGAGAGATAGCAGCCGCAAATTGGTAACATTCAGAGAGAGCTTCTGAAAGGTGATAATTGCCCCCAAATTAAAATGATTTAACAAAAAATAGTACCCAAATAAGAAGCAAAATTTTAAAATACAAAAATGTTATTGATTTGGGGTCAAAGTTTTGCTTGGGTGTGGGGGCGCAGGAGGGGGAATATGATGGGAAATCCCTTTAGCTTTCGACATTGCCAAAGGCATAACACCAAATGCCCCACTGATAAGTGCCTCACTATTGTTCTCAGAAACTTACTGAAATGTACCAAGTGTACAACTCATGAAAATATTGCACTGAATAACGAAAAGGGATGCAAGAAGCCGCCTCATTACTTACTTTCCAGTTTCCTCTATCACTGGAGCAGAGCAGAGTAAGTAATTGTCTTCAACTACAAGAGGCTTCTCGGCTGCAAGATGAAAATAGTGCGTTAAATTGCTGCGGCAATAAGTGCTGACACAAACTCAACTGACTGCAACAGCACAATGCTCTCCTGGTCATGCCTCTGAACACGACAGAAAGCCAGCTGGGGCTGATGAGGACAATCTTTGCACTTAATGTAGCCCCTTGTCAAGTGAAAACCTTTCCAAGCATTCCACAGAATGAGTCACTTTGAAGTGTGGTGACTGTTGCGATGCAGTTAGACGCAAGCAGCGAATCTATGGCAATGGCTTCCCACAGTAAGGTGACAGGTAAATTGAACTGCAATTTTCCGTTTTTTTTTATCTGCATGTGTAATAATAATCCTTGGATTTGACATAGGCACCTTATCACTTTGTTGAGATGTCTCAAAGGGCTTCACAGAATATAGTTAAAGTGGATTGACTGTATTTTGTGTGCAAAACGTGGCAACCAATTGCACACAACAATATCCCACAAACAGTCGTGGATTGAATGACCATGTACTTTTTAAAACGTGTTGGGAGGGCTTAGTATGAGATTGGAATATTCCATATTCCTCATTACATTAAAACTCAATTCACTGTTAAATACAGTCACTACACCTTGACAATAATTTCCCGCAAAGCGTTTTGAAATGGTTTGATGCGACAAGGAGCTACAGACATGCACATTCAAGATGTTATTTTGTGCTTTCTGTGTTTCTGTGCTTTAGAAGCGTAGTATTTTGATTTTCAAGTCACTGTTCAGAAAAACTAACAATGGTCAATACGGTCATTTCTAACAGCCCTCCTAGATGGATGGGTGTGGTTTCGGTGCCTAATATATTTAAATGGTAGTTAGATGGTGGGATCAAATTTAATCCTCGAATCTGATTGTGTACAAACACCAACACAAACGCTGATTTATGTCACAGAAAGAAAACAAAATCCTTGCATTTGTTATAGTGTTCTTCAATGTCAGGAGAATGTGTCAAAGCACTTCACAGGATTTACTGTAAAACGTGAAGAGACTGTACTTTGTTGGCAAATCTGTCAGCCAGTTTTTATTGAGCAATGTCCCACAAACAGCCTCAAAGTGAATGACCCATTTTATCTGGGAGATTGTTGTTGCAATTAATGTTGCAAGTCCTTTCTGAACCACTCACTGATACCTACAAGGTGCAGTTACTCACGTGGAACCGGCAATTCATGCTTATTCAGTCTTGTGTTTCAATCTAGACCTGCCTTATTGGCGGAACATGGAAGAGCAGACCAGTCACTGAGAGCAGGGATTTTACCCACTCAGCTCCCGTAACCCTGCAAGCCAAAGTCCTAACAGGTAGGATGCTCATAGCTGGACAGACAATGCTTTCAATGGCAAGCTATGCAAGGTTTTAGCTGGTTGTACTCCAGCATTACCCAAATGTGCACTTTGGGATGCCCAAGCCTTGGCTCTTGCCAATCTGGGCTAATCCAGGGCGAGAGTGCACATTCCATTCTAATAAATATCTTTGCAATTCCAGTGTATAAGTGGGATGCATGGAACTCTTTGGTTTGGATACTCTTTAACCATGGTGATGGGTTTCCACATGTGTCAAACACCCAGCTGCCCCCCCCCCCACCCCCACCCCCACGTAAAGACCTTACATGATCATTCACATCTACTTTGCTGCTATTTTACATTCAATAAGTATAACTACAGTGAGTTTTTTTTGTCTGTCACTTAACTGGCTGAATATTCACTGCACGGTTGAAATAAATATTCCTTTAACTCTGTGTGTAATTGGAAAGCTGAGAGGCAGATACCAAGTTCACACAACTACAGACAGCTGCAAGGCTCTGAGAAAGCCCTTCATGAATCCATTGCTATGAAATGCGATAGTGGCAGGCTTGGAAAGCTCCAGGTACAAAGTTTCCACGTAGCTCATAACCTAAAGGGATTATTTCTCCCACACCCCATTGCACAGTTGCATCACTTTGCTCTGCTTTCATAAATCATAACGGGGGTCGAGGTTTGCGAGATTTGCAAAAAGGATCTGTAAACATTAACGTGGATCTCGGCTGACCTCTTGCCTGAAGTCGTGACCGCAATCTAACTAAATTCCTTCCCACATCCCCTGTGCTGCTTTCAAAGGTCTCGGGAGCTTTGAGCAGGGCAATATATCGAGAAGCTGACTTGTGTGCCTGGCTCATTAACGACATTAAAGAAAGACCTGTTCTGGGTAGAGATGGTCCCAGTTCTGCTCTTTAGGTGACTGGTTAGGAGATACTCTTGAGAGCATAAGAAGCGGTTTAATGGACAGTTTTATCTTCTGCAGGACTGTGGTGGGTAAACAAAAGCCGAGGCTCTGATTTGAATCTGGGCTTCTCAGTTGAGAGTTTTGTCAGCACTTTGGCCTTACAACAAAAGGACATGGATATCACATGTATTACCCCGCTTCAACACACAGTATACCCACCCCTTCAGAAATACACTTCAACAATGGCTGCCAGCAGACACTGGTAGTCTGGTGTTCAGAATTGAGCCTACAAGCATCCCAGTGATATACCAGCACCCAGTTGAGGACCAAGGCGTGAGGGGCACTATATAAATGCAAGTTATTGTTGTCTAGCTGCATCGAGGATGGTTATGCAACTAAATGCTTTTGAACCCAATTGAAGTATGGAATTCACTTTGTGGAAATTTGCAGGAAAGTCCGTGAACCTCTGCGCTTGTTGTTTAGTCTCACATTATTATGGCCTTCATTTCAACGGGGTCAAGCTGTAGTTACCAATACCATGAGATGAAAATGTCCTTTCAGTCCGTTTGCTCTCATCTTCCCAGAGTACCCACCCTACTACTTTCCCAACACAGTATTAAACTGTTTCAACGAGCCCAGTCTTGGCCTCAACAAGACTTGCTGCTAACTTTTTGCAGCTGTTATTCCTCCTCTGTAAATTAATACTTCCTGATGTCGGTCTTAGACGTGCCCTTCACAACATCACCAGTGTTAGGTTTGGATGACGATGGCCCTTTGGCCCATCTGATATCATTCTTCCAGAACAAATCCTCCAGAACAGAGCCTCCCATCACAGCCTCCAGCTATTTTTTGAATGAGTTCCAGTATTCTGTCCTCACCTATCCTTCCTGATAACCTGTTCCAGTCATTATTTACCCTCTGGGTGATTGTACTAATAATAATGATGACATATTATATATTATATCAAATGACACATTTGACATAACATATGCCACAAAATGCTTTACAGGATTCCCTATAACATTAATAAATATGTTTGTACATATTTATACTTGTGCCTTCTTGTTCAGTTGCCTTTTCATATCTGAATGTATTCCCCTGAGTTTACTTTCTCAATCCCATTTAAAATCTTATATATTCAACTCCAAATCTTTGTCCTCTTTGCGCTGCTGCCTTGGTGGTGCTTCAGCTCCAACAGACATTACTTAAAAGGCCTAACATTAAAGGTAGCACATTGTAAAGTCAGACCTTGTGAAGGATGGAAGCCCTCGCTTATCTAGTCCAGTCACTCCTATTGCTTATCCCACTGAGGATCATCCTTGTCGTTACCTCTGCACCTGATCTCATTTCTGATCAGCCTGAGTAATAGATGTGAATGCTGCAAAAACATTACTTTGAAGGTGGCATGTTGTAATGTCAGACCTATACTTACTTATTGTCTCCGTCTCATTTATCTTGAAGCTGCAAAGCACTTGATCTGTATTCCGTGCGTGAGAGAATCCATTTCCTCGTACAACAACTTGAAAGGATTCTGTAATCAAATCAACATGCCACATAAATCTAGTCTTTATTATATTGTACAAATAGTGGAAATATAAGTCAGCACTATAACAATCATATTCTTTTATATTACCTCAAAACGCTTCACAGTATGTACTGTTCTTTTGTTTATCTACTACTTTTTATTCTGCCTATCTTTACAATGAGCTATGTAGAACGTGCAGAGTTTGTAGATAATTTGGTGCTTTTAAGGCGACCTTAAAAGACCAAAACATACAACTTTGTGACTGGCAATTTACTTATGTGCATTGGTTGAATAAACATTAAGTGTACCGTCCAACCTGAGGTGTTTCGTGTTCTAACACTGGAATCCCTGCTGACAAAGAGGTCTAATCTACGGTATTTTTAACGCAGTTCAAAGGGAAAATCTGGAAGTGCAGGAATTTTGGCTTTTAAAATAAAATGTCTTCACTCGGCTCTCATTTCTATAATGATCCCGAGACACTGGATTGGAGGAACAGAGGAAATTATTCAAACATCTAAGATAACAATTTGGCTAAACGCTTAATATATTTCAATTGAATGTATGCTTGAGATTGGAGTCACAGGCCTGGACTTAGAATGAGATAAAATACATGAACTCCGCCACTAAACACATCGACCACCATGCTGAGCACAACAACAACAGTTTGTGTCTTATATAGCTCCCCTCACGCAGAGTAGCGTCCCAAAGCACAAATATGTCATCCAGACAATGCATTTTATGCCTAAACCCTGCCGACAGACTGAGACCTTCTTGCATATAATCCAATTATCCCAGCTTGTTAATTATAGCATTCTGATGGCATTTCTTCGAAGCCAAGAGGGTTAAAAATTACAGAGCCTGCTTTGCACAAAGACAAAATATAATACTACATTCTTTCCAATCTCATTGGAAACAAATGCGCCCTTAATGGTACCTTCCCCATGACTTTAAACCAATAACATTTTTTAAAGACCGAGTTCCACAACATTTCACTTTCAACAGGAAGCACCAGAAGATGTTTTGAATATTACTTTTGGCACCAGTGTCAGAATTTCTGCACATTATGCAAAGTTTATTTATCCTCTTCCTTCTCCCATCTTGCTAACTGAATAAACATGATTGGCTCTTCATCCATATCCAACTCACGGTCTTGGCAAACATTTATACCAGCCAACTATTTTACAATTGTAACTGCATAATTAATAGGGTTAAAGTGCTCCCCCCCATCAAAAAAAATAATGAAGGATCTTAAATAGTGGCAGCTATATTAGCAATGCTGATTTCAGCTTAAGAGATTGCATTAGAGAGAAAAGATGGCTGGTACAGGCCAAGCAAAGCTGTGAACATTCAAACTGTAAACTGCACTGTTGTTAATGTCACAGGGTTTAATCACGTCATTGCAGTTTACATCCACTGCTCTCCTGATGCTCCACTTGCCTTGTCAGCTGAGGTACAGAGCTAAAAAAAAAGACTCTTCTCTGTCAGCTAGCAGCCAGCACATTTCTCCAATAAATGTCATCGTAATAAAGGAAGCCAGTTCAATTTTACATAAATTCCCTTCCGCGTTTAAATGGCGGACAAGCCTACGAATCGAATTCTTCCTCTTACCCGAGCCAAGCTGTATGTGATTAATATGAAAGCTGAATGCTGAAATGGCTAATTCTATTTAATTTCAGGCCCTGACTGTGACCGAGTCCTTTTCTTCCTTAGTTACTGTCAGATTGTACATTGTCGATTTTGACAAGATAGCGAAGGGAAAAAGGTCAGCTCTGAAATAATCGGGCAGCGCTGGCAGCAAGATGGTGGGTTGAAGCTGGTGCGCGCTGGCTGTGCTGTCGGCTTTGCTCTTGTGACTCTGATGAGGAGCTGACTGTTTGCATCCACACCTGGTGGTTGACGTGGCCAGTAGGATGCCACATCCAGCAAAACCTTTCAATCATGTCTGCGTACCATGAGCATAATCAAAGCAATGATGCTGTCAACTTATATACAATGCACCTCCAACTCCAAATTGATGGCCTGTTTTACAGGCTACATGTCCTGGTCATTTTAAATCAGCCTTATTACCGAGATAGCAGTGCTTTGCTCCATATCAGGATTTGCGGAATGCAAATTTTGTCCCCGAATCCATCAATATGCAGGCAGAAAGCATGAAGTGGCATGTTCTAAAAGCAAGGATATCTTCACACATGTCTGTCACAACTCAGCAATGCCATTTTTTATTATTTTCACCCTTCTCAGTGCACACTCTGCATTGACAGGTTAGGCCACGCAAACATTTAGCTGCACTTTATATAGCGTGGTATGAGCCAGAAATCAAAAAAGCACAATGCTTTCATTTCTCAATGCCTGTGGTTTTTTTTTAAATAAGGGGGTCAGACAAAACAAAAGAACAACCAGATAATACAAATTAGATCATCCTTTATTCATTGAGCAACTCATGTCCTTTTGAGTTCCCTCAAATCACATGAATGCATTTTATCCTGTGCAACAACAAAAAGATCGTCTTTATTGCCAGCACTGACTGCTATAAATTACAATTTGAGAAAAGAGTCTTTCATTCATTATCTGATGAATAAATGAACCGCTGTAAATACCATCATTTGGATTTTGCTACGGAAATTAGTCTGTGGTTTTTCAATGTGTAAAACTCTACCACCAAAACAGAACAATTTGATGCTGGATAATAACATCTAATGTGTATACTGTGTGCACTGTTAAGTAGGCCAATTGGATTCAGTCAAATTTGACTGCTAAGGTTTTTTTTAAGAAAACAAACCCCATATTATTTATTTTATCATTAAATGTTTTAGTCCCTCTGATAAGTGAAACCCTTTCCTATGATGACAAGCTGAGCAATATTTTGGTATGTGCTTTGCCTTTTAAAATGAAGGTGTTAATCACCAACAGCAACAACTAGCAGGTATATAGGGCCCTCCGCATAAGATAATGTCTTGTGGTGCTACAAAATAATGGGAGGACAGGAAGGTTGCCATAGACATGGTCAAGATGTCGGTTTGTAAGCAGGATTTAAAGACCGATAGAGTAAGGTAGAGGGAGGGTATTTTAAAGGGCAAGGTAGTTGCTGAATCGCATATATTCAAGACCATTATTCAGTGAATGGCAACACCATTTTACCCTTTTCATAACCCACATAATCTTGAAGGTCTTCCCGCATTATGAAGAGTTAACAATGGGATAAATAGTGAGATTTTATTCCACAGCTCAGTGAATCAGCAACGAGGGGAGGGGATGCATATAAAAGTTCATGTTAAAAAGGAGTTGGAGAGAGAAAGAAATACAGGGGGAGGGATGTAATGTGGAATTTTCTGTTCCAAACAGTTGTTGCAGCAGATTCCATGAATTATAATCAAAGGGAATTGGCCTGAGAGGAATATTAATGAGTGTGAGGGAGCAAGCAACAGAGCAGGATTAGATTAGGTGGCTCATGTGGAGAAAAACAGCAAGCGCAGGCTTGATGGGCCAAACGGCCTGTTTTGTTCCTGTGATGTAGCACTCTATAATACTATGAACCAATATACCTTCAGAACAGATGTGCCAATGTAAGCCACATCTGGCTCGTTTATTTAATTTGACGTGGCACAGAGATAAATAGCCAAATCCTGACGCTTGCGAGATTGTTGAAAGCCAGGGACACTGCATTGTTTCTTTTGCAAGTGATCTGATTTGAAGCCATTATCAGCCTGAGAAGAAGCATATCCTTCCTTCACTTTTAACTGGCTAACTGACCTCACTGGACCCCAATTTACAACCATCTGCTCTGTTTAAAGTAAACAGGAAGGTTGTCTGTTTGTTGTGTTCAGTTAAGTTGATTACATTCAGGGACTCTTTACTGTCAGATTTTAGGGATGCCTTCCATATATTTCATTGAGGGGGTTTGTGTGCAGTCCTAAGAAAAAGATACTGTAGTTGCTGATGTTACGTTGTATGAACTCTATCCCTTTTCAGAGCAATAAATGCAGAGTGTGCCATCTCTGTCACATGCCTGTACATTTACAAAAGTCTGGTTTGCACTGGAAACTTTGAATGGTGGTAATACTACTAAAATGTTCTTGGGTAGAAATTCTACCTGGGTCAAGACATAGCCTATTAATGCTGGATTTCAGACCACCAGGATGATGTTAAATTCTTAAACATAGCCTGTAATTTTGAAGCTGCTTTTCTGTAAGTTTATTTGAAGAAACTTCACAAAATGAGCTTGAAAATTAAGACTGAATTCAACAATTTTCTAAATTCTGTGCACTCTGAAATGTAATATAATCCTTGCATTTGATATAGAGCCTTATCATATCTTTGAGATGTCTCAAAGTGCTTCACAGAATATACTGTAAAGTGAATTAACTGTACACTTTGTGGGCGAAATGCGGAAGTCAATTGTACACAGCAGTGTTTACACAAACAGTTGTGGATTGAGTGACCAAATTATTTTTATTTATTTTCAAGGAATTATTACCTCCGAAAAAGCGATCCGCCAATTGAACTAACAACCGGGTTCCTACTTACTTGCTCAACCTTTCAAAATACTATGTGAATAGAATAAATCTAGATCTAGGTGTAATTTTGACCCCACTTGTGTCTTCCATGTGAACCCGCTTGATTAAAACTTTTAAAATAAACGACACCTCGCTGATGGAATTAAACATTTTGTTCTTCTGAACAATTTTTAAAAAACAAGCATTGAGAGCATCGATCGATATGTACAGCAGAAAGGAGGTGAAAACTTGTGTGTGTTCTTAAAATTTGAACACTGGATTATGACTTGATATTAAAGGTTACAATTTTGCCACTATACATATATATTACATATAACTATGCTATCCAGTTAAGCTGCAGCAGCATTCCTTACAATCCACAGCTGTGGGTTTTGACAGATCTGCCTAATCTCATGGGATCTGTAGACAATTTTCACCCTGCACAAGTCAACTGGTGTTCAAACTTGACTCTTACAAAAATATGGAGCAGAAAATTATACAAAGAATACCATATTTATTGTGCAATGATCTGAGTGCTGACTTTTTCCTTTTTGTTCACTTTCTACTTCTCTTATGATCTATTTTATCTTATATTGAGAACTTTGCTGAAGGACTGAGTCTCATTCATTTGTGCAGTGCACCATCAAGGCTGTAAGGATTAGTAGAAAAACAGCACAGGACAAAGCAAGTTCAGATGAAGAAGACCCTTGGCTCATAAGATTGGTTCAGATGAAACAGGCCCTTTGGCCTCATTGATCTCATTCTTCCAGTAAACCCACCCTAAGGTCTTCCCTTCACAGCATCACACTGTTATTCTCAAATGAGTAAGCAACATCCTGTCTCTAACCCGTCACTTTTTTTGTATGGAAACGGAACTAAAAGATGTAAAGGACTGCAAATCACCATTCTAAACTTAATTCACTTAGTAAATTTCAGGTTTGGTGGGACATTTAAACCTACCCCCAGCGCAGACACTCGATGGCTCAGCTGCAAGAATTTCAATGCAGGACTTCTTTAGGATCTGTTAACACAGGCAAGGGGGGCAATGAATTACTTTGATTGGTGATTAAAGGCTCGAGTCACAAACTTTCCATAAGGAAACCATTTGATAACGTGCCAAATGCATGCAGGCACAGTGAGAATGAAAACCCACTGACTGCCTCAGTGGACCTCACTTACCGAATCAATTATACCTCCTAATGCTTGGAATCCACCTGTTACTGGGAATACATGATCTATGCTATCAGCAATCTTTGCCAACTATAAAAGAAAGACAGTTTTGGGTTACAACACATACAAGCGTGTTCTGCAAGGACAGCATCCATCAGTTTTATTTCGTCATTTGAAAACAACTTTGAAGCACTTTGTTCATCAAACCTTACAACCAAACGAGCATTCAAAAAGCCTGACAGTATAATTATAACCCTTGCATTTGAAATAGCACCTTATCACATTATTGAGACATCTTAAAGCACTTCGCGGAATATATTGCGTAATTTGTGGGAATCGAACTCTGGTCCCCTCGCTTGCAAGATAAGCGCTCTAAACAATACACTACCGAACTCCACAGACGCTACAGGACTCAACGTATCATACTACAGCAATTTGCAAATGGATTTACCTGGGTTTCATTGAAGTCTTTCACACCAACACAATAAACAGTAGCTCCAAAGTCCCTGGCCCTTTTAGCCTAATGAAAGAGAGACACATTTGTATCAAATTGACTTGGCGTTGAAGGTAAATTCGATACTGGAAACTTTCTCTATTGTTGTGAATACTTCTGAACTTACTTCCATTTCTGCATAATCGTATAATCTGTCGATTAATTCCCCATCTGTCAAAGCAATGATGACACTGGCAGCTCGCATCCCTGGAATTGTAAAGTCAGAAGTAATATTTTATTCCTTGTTGATTTAAAACCCTAATACTTTAAAAAAAACTTCAAAAGCCAAACAACTGAAAGCCAAACTCAAAAGGTGACTTGTGTTGAAAGCAAAGGTTGTGGGAGCTGTAATAATAATAATCCTTGCACTCGATATAGTGCTAGTGCCTTTCATATCGGGCTATACCAGGCTTAATCAAGCAAGAACAAGCCATATTTTTCTGCAGCCTGTTTTGTCCTCCTGCTGCTAAAATTGCTGGCACTAAAAACAGAATAGTTTTATGACTTACTGTACAAACCCAAAATAGTGCTGAGTGACTCTGTGCTATAAATGGCATGTCCATTTTGATTACTAGTTGCACCAGAAAATAATCATCTTGTGCTTGTGACTTATTCTCTTCCGCCATGTGCTGCTTAACCCCTCAAGTAACCTATTGCCAAGTCAGAGTTATTCCGCACAGTTTTTAACTTCTAACAGAAATTTCCATCTGTATTTGACTTGATTGACTTGCCACAAGACCATGAGATAATGCTCACTCTCCCTGGAATTACTTTTACTGGTCCAATTGCAGAATCAATGAACTAATTTTGCTGCAAATGTTTTGCAGAATAGTTTGTTTAAAATGTACCAAAGATTTATTGAGCTGCATAAATTGCACAGAACTACTAAAGGGTTTTTAAACAACGTTTCTGAGTCCATCTGCAAATGTAGCTGAACATATTCTTTATCGTTACAACCTGCTTTGTCACAAAACTACAACTTGGCCAATAATTAGCCAATAATTTCTCTCTCCCAACACTCCACTCAATTTGCAGACTCAACTGCACTATACAGAGAGGTGCTAAATGGAGTTCAGGCATTTCCCCAGAGAGAAGAATATTGGAAGACTTGTTGTCACAAGACCGCTTTCATGCACTTCCTAGCAACCAAGAGTGGCATTGACAGCAGAAGCCTGGGAGCAGGTCTGCTCTCGGCTACTCTCTGTGACTTGTCAGAGACAGGAGATGGCAAATAAATAACCTTTGTTTGAAAAATACAGAAAAAAATTATACAGAATGTTATAATTTACGTTACGAAAGAAGATGGCCAAATTCCAGAATGTAACTCTTTTATTAATTCAGGTGTAGTATCAATGTGAAATAAGGCAAAACAATAAAAAAAAACACCAGTTTGTTGTTTAAAAAGCCTATAGGTTATTGCAGAGCAATTGTTGTACTAATCAAATGCAGTTTGATTATCCACTGGAATACAGTCTGTGTTATGATTATGCTACAGATGGGTGGACATTCAAACTCCTAGCTTTCATCTACAACCGGGATATCTATTAATTGTGTACTTCTTACTCAAATAATTGTTATTGATGTCGAGAAAATATCTGTGGAAAATATCAAATTTGCTTGTTGTGATGGAAGGCTTGAACTCACCTGAAACGTTCTCATGATAAATCTGTTCCGTTGCCTGCAGTAAGTTTTAAATGAGAACAAAATTACTCAGTTCCTATGAATCGCCAGTAATCATTTCTATAGAAGCAAAAAAAACGTTTCAAAGATGTTTATGTACAAAACTTGAGTTGCAAATTATACCCTCTTGAAGCCTTCATGCATGAATGTGTCTCCTCCAGGCATTTCTCTCTTAAGTGTTTCAAGTCCTTTGCGGATGGTTTCCCTTTAATAAAAACACATTATTTTAATAATCTGGGCAAATATGTATTTTTGTAATATGGCTTTGTTTTCTTTTTTTTTAAAAGACACTTTGTCAAAACTTAGGTGTTGGTTTTACAAAAGCATCAGATAAACCTTTTTTAATTTTATTTTTACGTTATGTTAAAGAAATTGCTAGTTGCGAGAAAATCTAGTTTTAGTCACCGTACGTATTATAGACAGCATTTTCCCCCACCCCCCCTCCCCAGCACTGGAGTGATTAACAGCTACTTGCCTGTTTTCGGTTAGTTTCATCAGAGTCGTACCTCTAGAAGAGAATACGATGAAAGACATCCGCAGCTGAGGACTGAGAAAGCAGTACTGTTAGTAAAATGTGCGCAATATTTGGCAAAATACGTTAACTGCACTGAACTGTCTGTACATAAACAATGCAGTAAAAATTAATGGTACCTCAAAAATTTCTCTGCCAGGAGCTCAACAAAAGAATATATTTCGATCCAATGGTTTCTAACACTTCCAGATCTGAAAAACACAGAGTTATGATCTGAATAACACAGAACCAATGTAACTATCTGTTAATAACTACAGTCTTCTGGAATAAATAAGAACGCACAAATTCAAACTTAAGCAAATAAGTAAACTGGTACTTGAAAATCCATTGAATGTAACTGCCACCCCCACATTCTATAAAGATAATGAAAATGATTTGTGAAGTACATTGAAATTTGACTATCTAATCTTGCTTAAGACTTGAGCCTTAAGTGTCATAACCAAAATACAGTACAAATCCTATCACCTTGGCACCTCCGAGCACTAAAGTATGTAATTTAAACTACTATTCAAGCACTTAGAGACACCCTTCTGACAAGTATAGATGTAAATTGTATTGAATTGTAGATGTACAGATTTGTTGCCTATAAATGCAGTAACTACATTTTACAGTAAAGTCTTACAAAGCTCTTTGAGACATCTCGAAGATATGAATAAGGTGCAATATAACATTTAAGGATTATCATTACTGTATGTGATAAAAGAGATGATAAAAAAAAAGTCTGGTCATTAAATCCATGACTGCTTGTGGGATTCTGCTGTGCGCAAATGGCTGCCATGTTTCACCCACATAATATACAATCATTTCATTTGACAGAATATTCTGTGAAGCGCTTTGAGATATTTCAACCTGATAAGGCACTATATCAAATGCAAGAATTGTTATTATTATTAATGCGTTATTCAGTGGCCATTCAATGTCAGTGAATCAACTGCAATTTGGCAATCAATACCTGAATGGTAATAAAGCTGCAATGTTAATCCTGCAGTGAGAACATACTGTATTGACCCAGAACAGACCAGCAGTCCATCAGCATCCACACTGACAGATGTTACTGGCACAGAACAGACCCAAACATAAATAAAATCACCCATAAAATTAATAGAACAGCTTGTACACCAAGATATCCAGGCATCATAGCAAAGTGTAATCTCGTAAAATGTTTTAGACAGGTGACATTTACATATCCCAAAAAGGATACTGACTCAAAATTGCTCCCATATATTTATAATTTTTCCTAGTGTCCATTATTTAGCAGTTTTTTTTTCTGCCCTTTTATTATTTTTTCTGTTGATAAATTTTCACAGTGGACGGAAAAATTGATGCACAATGATCTCCCCAACGAAAGATTAGAGAATTTTGACATACTCCATTATTTACCGTAATGATAATTATGGTTACAGGTTACAGGTAATCTGTGTGAGTAGAAATATCATAGGAGTGGCTTCAAAGTATTAATCTGAATCTTGAGTGTGAAAGACACTCAATGTGCTTTTTGATTTATCTCTTTCTTCTTCCCCACAAGTAATTATTGGTCGTATTCTGCACTGTGGTTTTTGCCCCCTTCACCTTCCGTTTCTTAACAAAAACAAAAAAAAGCACTAAAGCTTTGCTTTTGAAGTTTACAACCTCATTTGAACTCCACCTCTCAACTAGATCACTGCTTTGTAGTTGTCTCCACAATGAGAGTCAAATTGCCTTGCGACAAGAAAGAAGTTCCACACACAAAAAAACATCTTTGAATTGATATGCAGCCTTTCGTGTTGGGAGATTGTCTCAAAGTGCTTCAAAGTGCTTTACTATAAAGCATACTGACTGTATTTTGTAGGTGAATGCACTGGCCGATTTGCATGCAATGATGTCCAACAAACAAACCAACAAACAAACAGCCAAGGCATGTCAAACAGCCTTGACTTGACATTGCTAGTGGATTTGAATAGTGTTGACTATTTCAAAAGGGAACTGGAAGGGAGAAATTCCACCTGAGTCCACATTAACACTATTTTCTTTGCTTCAGAGTGTCAAAAATGTGGCTAATCATCGATTTCAGATTTAACTTTGAAGCCATTTTTGTGGTTCTTAAAAGTAATTTTCAAAATCCGACGTTAAAATTAAAACTGTATTTAAGATATTGGCAAATTCTGAACTCCCTGAAACAAAATAGAAATAAGAATAGATCTAGACCCAGGTAGAATTTCCACTCCCTATGATACCAGTAGGTTTGCAGCAAGGATGCAAAACAGATAGCAAAGATTTAAGAGGGACCAATCAGATGGATCACAATGATACGTTCTGGTCTTGTATATTCCTATGTTTACCACTTGAAATACAAGCCTTAAAATTGGCACAGCACACAACAACACTTCAACAACTTGATTGTCACACCCATGTTTACGGAGCAAAGATCTTATATGTTATTAGATCTTATATGCAGTGTTTGTTACATTTTACAGACTAACATATATTAAACTTAACGTACATTAAATATATAGGTATATTACACAGAGAGATGTTAAGTACTAATATATATGTAGATATATGCATATGTTATACATTAAGCAGATAAAATTGTCAGGAATAATACAAGGAAGTATAATTTATGATGGCTCATACAACTACTTTGTGATGGTTTCCGTAAAAAGTGTTTATTTGCAACAAGAATCTAAAATATTCAAGACATGAAAGATTCATGGTCAGATGCGATCTAAATTGCTATTGCCATTAAAATGACTTGCTTGTATACTAATGCAGGGACCCAGTTAGACTCACAGTAAAATAATGTAATTCAACACAATTTACGTTTATACAGCACCTTTCATGTTGGGCAAATGTTTCAAAGCATTTCACAGGATTTACTGTGAAGCTTAATGACTGTAATAATTCTGTTGATGTTACTTGAGTTTCTTGTTTGTTACATTTCTGTGTCTATAATGCAATCTGCATGGTTGTCCCACAAAATTTTCCACTATGACACAGAGTTCCCATAAGTCGAAATGAAGCACATCTGGTGGCTGGCAGGATTTAGCATCTGTTGTGATTTCGGCATTTGCTGATTTTCACCCTTGTAAGGAAAAAAATTAAACAACAGAGGTCTTAAACTCAACTCTGTGCATAAATGTATGGTGAATCGATAACCAGAGAACACAGATTTAAGATAATTGGCAAACGAACCAGAGGGGAGACGAGGAGAACTTCTTTTACCCAGAGAGTTGTTATGGCCTGTCATGGTCTGCCTGAAAGGGTGGTGGAAGCAGCTTCGATAATAGCTTTCAAAAGGGAATCGGATGTATTCTGGAAAAGGAAAAAAATTGCAGGGCTGTGGGGTATGAGCGGGAGAGTGGGACTAGTTAGTAGCTCTTTCAAAGTACCAGCACAGGCACAATGGGCCGAATGGCCTCCTGTAAGATTCAATGTTTCTACGTACCAAGTCATTGTGGATTTTCAAACTTTAAACTACTGTGCAGCAACAATATTCAGGTACCGTTAAGGCATCTGGATCACTTTCCTATTTTTAAGTAGATGTGTAATTATTTTGATTTTGATTACGTTAGTCACAAAGCTTCTGCTGTTTATATCAGGGGTGCTTAGGGGATTCACAGAAACAAAATCACTTGTTTTTCTTTTGCAGACAGAAACGTTTGCGCATTTCAACAACAAAGCTCCTTTGAAAAATTAAAAGCAATGTATCATTCAAATGGCGTAAAGTAGCAAGTATTTGAAACAAAAGTGAAGAGTTGCTCTCTTCCAGATACATTTCGATTCAGGCCCCAACTGGTCTCTATGCTCTTGCTCTGTCTGGGTCTTATTCCCCCTTTATTCCCTTTCCTTCACGCCCTCTCTCATGCCCTCAAAACCTTCACAAAAATGTATCTCTCTAATCGGTCAACAACCTAAAATTCCTTCCTCCTTCCCCCCCCTCCACCCACATTGTTTGGTAATCAATACATCCCTGTAATGTGCTTTTGAGATGTTATGCAACCTATCTGAAAGGTCTCTATAAGGCAAGATAGTTTTGTTGGTGTTTTGGCATCCTTTGTGAATGGTAGGTATTGGAAACATAGAAACAGGAGTAGGCCATTCAGCCCTTCGAGCCTGATCCGCCTTTCTATAAGATCATGGCTGATCTGAACCTCAAGTCCAATTATCCGTCCTTGCCCCATATCACTTAACAAATATCTATCCACCTCAGTACTTCTGTATGTTAATGCAAGTTGTAAAATATATTGACTCTTTTGTTATAAGATAGAGAGTGAGAGAACTCCTTTTACTGTAAGATAGTCGGAAATTCACGGCCTTGCTCCCTCCTATCTCTCCGACCTACTATCCCCCTACCTACCTGCCCGTACCCTCCATTCCTCTGGCTCCGGTCTGCTCCACATCCCCCGCCCTAACCGTCCTACCATCGGTGGCCGGGCTTTCAGCCTCTCAGCCCCTAGGCTCTGGAACTCTATCCCCCAGTGCCTTCGCCGCCTCCTCCCTTTCCTCCTTCAAGGCCGGTCTCATGACCTTTCTCTTCAACCGTGCCTTCAGCTCCCCTCTCGACTCTCTACCCCCTCCTCGCTCCCTCCCTTCCCTCCCCTCACACTGACTATTTCCCCCCCGCTCGGGTCCTGACCCAACTGTCCAGAGCCTTGGGACGTCCTCCTGACGTGAAAGGCGCTCTATAAATGAAATCTTGTTGTTGTTGTTGAATGTCTAATCTTTGCAAGTAGATTGCAAACAAGCAGGAAGACATGTTAATTATTTATTTGTCTGTTGTACTCTATAATTAATTCAGTTGCAATGAGTAGCATTCTAAAGGTTAATATGGTAAAACATACACAGTGTTACAAATATGCTTTGTTCCCCTATACTTTGCAGTAAAATAAAATCCAGCATCACTTTGGTTCAAATCACATCGCACAAAATCACTTCAGTTCAGATGAAGTAATTCAGTTGCAAGGTCCAGTTTTCTGTTACTGACACTAGCTGCCAGCAAAGACAATCTTGCCAAAGACTGAATAGAATAAAATCACCCTTCCCCCAAGATTCCCAACTGTATATACTGTGGATCATAGCAATATTATGTGGTTTGAATCTAATTGTGTTCCGTGCAGCTGTGTACAAACAGGTCATTTTAATGGCAATAAGGTGTGTAGCTGTGAATTGGGGGTGGTGGGGGAAGTGCGTAGGTTTTAAAGGACCTAACACGATATGAGATTGACGTACTGGAGGCCAGGATTTTTCCCATTTGTTAATCATTCATGCCGAAACCTTAATGGGTAGGATAATCCAAACTGGACAAGCAGCAGGAAGTTTGACACGTAGTGACCTCAATGACAATCTATGCGGTTGTCGTTGCTTAGACTCCAGCAGTACCCCAATGCACACACTGGGCTCCCCAAGTCTTGGCTCTCGCCAACCTGTGCCTGAAACGACCCCTCAGGGAGAGAGTACGCATTCCATTCCAAACATGGGAATTTTCACGTATAGGTGGGATGTACAAAACTCTCAGGTTCCTCATGACACCCTCAAGCACAGTGATGTGTTTCCACATGTGTCAGACACCTGGCGGTTGAAAAAAAGACGACTTGATTGTGATCCAGTTCTTTGGTGTGAATTTTACACCGGCCAGTGCAGTCAGCAGACAGACCAAAAAAGGAAACAAGAAACCCTCTTGTGAAATATATTGTTTGACCAAAACTAGTTCAAGGCACTGATTTCAAGTCTGTAATCATCCTTATTGTTAATGAGCTTTGCATTTGTGCAGTTTTTTGCACTATGTAAGTCATTTGAAATGACTGCTTTGCAATCATTGCTGGCTATCACTGCTGGCTGTGCTTTGCAATCATTGCTGGTTATTTTCTACATTTAAATATTTCCTCATTCCATTAATAACGGCTTGAGGAATGTTATTTTATTACAGTAGCTTACAGTACAGAATAAGTGGAATGAAGTGTTTTTTTGATCATGAAACTATGCAAAACAGTAAACGTAAATTAATAATAATCCTTGCATTTAATATTGTGCCATATTATTGGTGTTAAGACATCTCAAAGGGCTTCACAGAATATATTGTGAAGCAGATTGATGGGTATTTTGTGGGTGAAATGTGGCAGCCAATTGGACACAGCAGTGTCCCACAAACAGTCTTGGATTGAGTGACCAATTTTTTTTTAGGACAACAACAAAGTGCATTCATATTCCCGAAGGATAGCATCTGGAGGAAGGACTCATTCTAAGCAATGGAACAAGTTGATTCTATGCTAATCAATATAAATTTCCAAAGTGCATGCTCTAAAATCTGAATGCTTTTTAGTTTTACTGAATGTCAAGTCCAGTCAACAAGTTGATTCTATGCTAATCAATATAAATTTCCAAAGTGCATGCTCTAAAATCTGAATGCTTTTTAGTTTTACTGAATGTCAAGTCCGGTCAACAATTTCAAAACAAATACCAAAGCATCAGTTTAGACCCAGCCGGTCCATGTGTTGGTCTTCACTTCAGTGAACCAATTATCCTGTCTTTCCATCAGTTAACTGCTGCCTTACATTCGTTTCGCTTTTTAAGTTAGATAATTTAACATTTTTGAGTGACTCTGCCCAAACCCATCAGCCTCAAATTACCTAGTAGGAACATAGAAAATGCTAGAGGAAGAAAGATCGAGGCCATCCAGTTTGCCTTCCACCATCCCTCAGTCTTATGTATTGTTATTTCCTGAAGTCCTCATATTACTGTATCCCAAATTATTATTTCCTAAAATAAATTGATATCATTTGCTTTTGAATGAACGAACACTCTCTGCTATCACCGTCTCCCTAGGGAGCCTGTTTGAGCTTGTGAACAAGCCCCTTTCCCTCCAACCTCCACATACATGAACACTTCTCCCAACAACAGCAAAAATAACACCAAAAGTATTGAAAAAAAGTGTTCTAGCCACCAGCCAAATGTGCTTGTGAGTGAGTGATTGATTGAGAGTGAGTGAGAGTAAGTGAGCAAGTGAATGATTGAGTGAGTGAGAACGAGTGAGTGATTGAGTGAGAGCGAGTGAGTGAGTGATTGGGTGAGAGCGAGTGAGAGATTGAGAGAGTGAGAGTGAGCGATTGAGATTGTGGGAGTGAGAGCGACTGAGTGATTGAGCGAGAGTGAGTGAGTGAGTGAGTGAGTGAGTGAGTGAGTGAGTGAGAGAGTGCGAGTTGGTGACTGAGAGTGAGTTGGTGAGTGAGTGTGAGTTGGTGAGTGAGAGTGAGTGAGTGAGTGTGAGTTGGTGAGTGAGAGCGAGTGAGTGAGTGTGAGTTGGTGAGTGAGAGTGAGTGAGTATGTGAGTGAGTGAGCGAGTTGGTGAGTGCGTGTGAGTTGGTGAGTGAGTGAGTGGGTGAGAGAGTGAGTGAGTGGGTGAGTGGGTGGGTGGGTGAGTGAGTGAGTGTGTGAGTGCAAGTTGGTGAGTGCGAGTGAGTGAGTGAGTGAGTGAGTGAGTGAGTGAGTGAGAGTGTGTGAGTGCAAGTGAGTGAGTGAGTGAGTGAGAGAGTGCGAGTTGGTGACTGAGAGTGAGTTGGTGAGTGAGTGTGAGTTGGTGAGTGAGAGCGAGTGAGTGAGTGTGAGTTGGTGAGTGAGTGTGAGTTGGTGAGTGAGAGCGAGTGAGTGAGTGCAAGTTGGTGAGTGCGAGTGAGTGAGTGTGAGTTGGTGAGTGAGAGTGAGTGAGTATGTGAGTGAGTGAGCGAGTTGGTGAGTGCGTGTGAGTTGGTGAGTGAGTGAGTGTGAGTGAGTGAGTGAGTGGGTGAGAGAGTGAGTGAGTATGTGAGTGAGTGAGCGAGTTGGTGAGTGCGTGTGAGTTGGTGAGTGAGTGAGTGTGAGTGAGTGAGTGAGTGGGTGAGTGAGTGAGTGAGTGAGTGGGTGGGTGGGTGGGTGAGTGAGTGAGTGAGAGTGTGTGAGTGCAAGTTGGTGAGTGCGAGTGAGTGAGTGAGTGAGTGAGTGAGTGAGAGTGTGTGAGTGCAAGTTGGTGAGTGCGAGTGAGTGAGTGAGTGAGTGAACAAACAAACAAACAAACAAACAAAAGGGATCGGAGCAGCAGAGCAGTGGGTTCCGCTCGGGGCTCTGCGCTGGTCCCTGATTCCAGCTCTCCACTAACCCCACAGCAGAGACAAGTAAAGCAAACACCTTCTCTCCCTCTCTCTCCCCCTCTCTCCCTCTCTCTCTCTCTCCTTCTACTTTGCAAATCGTCCAGAGGAGTCGTTTTGCACGCGATTGCAAAACAGTACCTGTTCCATCCTTTTTATTGCATCTATATATATATATATATATGTCTGTGTGTAACATACACAAATACTGGTCCACGCCAAAACTTCCAACTCAAAGGGAGAGAGAGGTATATATATATATAAATTTTTATATATATATATTTATATATATATAGAGAGAGAGATAAAAATAATATAGATACTGATCCCACAGCAAAACTTCCAACTCAAAAGGAGAGGGAGGTATATATATATATATAGAGAGAGAGAGAGAGAGAGAGAGTTAAAGATAACATACATAGATACTGATCCCACAGCAAAACTTCCAACTCAAAGAGATATATATTATATATATATGTAGAGAGAGAGAGAGAGAGTTAAAGACAACATAGATACTGATCCCACAGCAAAACTTCCAACTCAAAGAGATATATATATTATATATATATATGTAGAGAGAGAGAGAGAGAGAGTTAAAGACAACATAGATACTGATCCCACAGCAAAACTCCCAACTGAAAGGGAGAGAGGGGGGGAGAGAGGAGAGAGCACAAGGACAGACCCAGTGAAGGGGAAATAAACTCGTCCCAACACCCGGCGCCTCCACTTACTTATCCAAAATAAAGTACAAGTCGAAAGCTCCGTGACAGGATGTCTGGTCTTTGTCTTCTCCCCCCGTTCCCGGTTTTCCTCCATCCTCGGCCCTTTGGGCAACAGACAGCGCGCAGAAGGCGGCGGCGGAGAGGAGGAGAGCGCTCAGCGCCGCTCCGCCAAAGCCTCTCTCGAAACTCGCCATTTTCCAGGCAGGAAAGTCATCCGATCTTCAGGAATGACCCTCACTGGAAGCTGTTGAAAAGAGGGAGGGATGTGTGGGAGGGGGTATGGGGGGAGGAGGCGAGAAGACGAGATTTTTTTTCACACCCCCTCCCCTCTCTCGCTTTCCACCAGACCCTACAGATTATGCCCCAATTCCCTCTCCCCACACAGTGCACACACACACACACAATGCACACACACACCACACAGTGCACACACACACCACACACCACACACACACACACAGCGTTGCTTGAGAGAGAGCACGTCAGCGTGTCCTTTCCTGCACTACACACACACACACACATACACACACTGACGCTCTCTCTCCTCCTCCTCCTCTTTCTCTCCCCATCCATCCATCCATCCAAACCCCACGATTGATCTCGTGTTTCACGTATCAATTCGGTTGGATTTCACCGATTGGATACGAGTTAAATATAAATTGGAAATCTATCTGCTAACTGCAACTCATGTCACTCCTTATATATTAGATGTATGTGTGTGTGTGTGTGTGTGTATGTATATATATATATATGATGTATATCTTTGCAGATAATAACAGTGCACTTACACTTCGGTTTGAACCATTCTCTTGATCTCCGGGCAGAACCTGATTTAAATCGCTCCTGAAAAAAATTAAGTCTGTAACAATTAATTTGCAAACCAATCCTTGCTTTAGCTTCCCCCACTTTATCCCCCCCCCCCCACCCACCACCCACCACCTGCCCCACTTCCTTCCTCCCTCTATCTTTCCCTCTATCCCTCCCTCCCCACCCACTCACTCACTCACTCACTCACTCTCACTCACTCACTCACTCACTCACTCACTCTCACCCACTCACCCTTTCTAAACTTAGGTCAATAAATGCATTGCACATCAAGTAGGGAGGGGAGGAGAGGAGAGGGAGAGAGAGAGAGAGAGAGAAAGGCTTTCCAAGCGAAACAATGTCAATTCGCGAGGAGATGCGGTGGGAACTTCACACGAAAGTGACGGGGGAGCGAAAATAAAAATAAAAAAAATGTGCAACGGGCGAATTCAATTCCGGACGTTTCCTCCCCCGAAACAGAACGGTTTTCTCCAGAAAACGGCAACGCTTCGGGGGGGGGGGGGGGGGGGATCGCTGAGACCAGTTCGCTCCCGATCCCAAAGAGGATGGGGACGGGATCCAAGAACTTGTCACACACACACACACACACAACACACACACACACAGGGCAGTACCGTTTCGAACAGTGAAGAGGGCGCTGAGGAGATGAACTGCCGACTCTGTGCAGCGTTTGTTTTTTAAAAAAATATATGCATATATGTATCACGAAGCAAAATGATTCGAACTCACTTAGTTCCCAATAAGGATAGCTCTCTTTTGCCGTCGTTCTGGGCAATCCGCACGCGGTTTAGAGGTAATTCAGAGGCAAAATGATACAGACTGGTGACTGGTATTTGCCCAGGCGCCGGGGATTTTTTTTCGTTTCACTTTTTGACCTCGAGTGTTGAGTGGATCTGACTTTTCTGGATGCTGATAACACAAGACCAGTCGCTTCCCAAGGCGTCTCAGGATGGCCCCTTTAAACGGAATTATATCAAGTGCTATCACAGCTCTTACGTTCGCCCAAATAAGAGAGTCATAAAGGAGATGACACTTTGGATTTGCGGTACTGTAGGCATGAACTTTGGAAAATAATGCGATCTGGTCTGCCTTTTCTCATAGATGATGATGATAGTAATAATAATAATAATAGTAATAATAATCCTTGCATCTGATATAGCGCCTTTACCACGTCGTCCAGACGTCTCAAAGCGCTTCACAGAATATACTGCAAAGTGAATTCAGTGTACGGTGTAACTACTGTAAATATAAATATTTAGTATACACACAGACTACATTCGACTGTATATTTTGTAAATCTTTTAGTAAAGCAGATTTATAATGTGCACTGGTTAAGTCAACTATCAATCCTTTGTGTGTGCACCAACACACGTAAATTCTGGTCTATTGAGTGTATTTCGTCTTTTGTGCACATATGTGTGAGCAAGTTCGCTTTATAAAACGTTGTATGACCACTGCAATGCAATGCCGCAGCAAAACCATCGTAATTTGTAACTGTTTCAGCGAATAGCAAAGAGCAGCGAAAGCGACACCAATGTTGTCGTGTTTTGTTCACTTCAAAACGATCAAAGCCACACACAGTACGTGTCTAATTGTGTTTTGTCCTCTCCCTTTTAGTTTAATCTGGTTGGTGACAAATATAATTCTACCAATCCATGAAACTGGCGCCTCTCCTAACCTAACTGGTTAAAAAAAAACCGTCTCTGTTGTTTTAGAGCTTTATTCAGAGTTTCTAAAAATAGAACAAAATATATTGCAAAATATTCAGCTGCAAGTGTCAGAGATAATTTGAGGCCTTTCGCACACAATACCCCGTGGTTTGCAAACCGATGTTTCGATTAAATAAAAAAAATGTAAAAGCAATTGCAGCAAATTCAAATGTATGGAGTGCAATCGCAAACTCACCGAAGTATAATTCCACAGCAAACGCGAGTGCTTTTAAGTCAAGGAATGCCAATCGTCAAATTCGTAACATCTAGTCCTTCGGGAGGATTTTTTTTCGAGAATGTTAAAAGCAAAGTCAGCGTTTCGAAAAGGTGTATTTTGAAAGCAAAAAAACAGTGTTTAGTTTTCCTGTGGATATTCAAGTATATTGCATATTGCATATCCAGAATATTATGATTTGGGTTACTCTATTTTCTTATAATAAGACTATAATCGTGATTATGATTATAATTATTAGCAGTAGTGGTACAATTGCAGTCCCTTAAGTTTGAATGACTTAGAAATCGACCACAAAGACTGTATTTTGAATTCCGGCTATAATGTGACCACGAACCGAGATCTGTCCTCGCAAAACAGCGTGTGTTTAAAACCAGAAACCCAACAATAATTTACAGGCATCGGATTTGGGTACATTTTTGTTTCCAGCAGATCCGACTTCGATTTCACGTTTCGCTCATTGCGAACAGCCCATCACAATGCGCACCCAGACGTTAATCAAAAAGGTTTGGGCGATTTCACATGTCAAACGCTCACAGGAATGTTCTGTCAGGGTTTGACACGCCCTTATCTGGAACGACATCTTTCAAAAGCAATGCTGCTGTTTGAAATTTAAGCATTATTTGATCGTGACGAGATATTTGATCATTTATACAGGCTTTTTTTTTTCACGTGAGAGATTTTTTTTTTTTTTTTTTTTTTGGGTGTGTGGGGTTTCAAACGAATTGGACACCCGACGAGATGTCCTTTTTTTTTTGATAGTTGTTTTTTTTTTGTGTGGACAAGGATGGAATGGGTGTTTTTTGTTTTATTTGAAGCTGGTAATTAACTGCGTGGTCGTTTCCACAGAAACAGACAAGTAATTTAAGGCGAGGGCACGCCAAGGAATAATGACCTATTGGGTGGTGATGGGGGTGAAAAAAACTTCTGAATGAGGCGTTCACAGGGAATTGCAACGAATCCTTAAAATCGCTGTTTGGAGACTCGAGTTCGAACCAATACAGACCATTGACATTCAAGTTGCGTTTTCAGGTGAGTTGACTTTATATTCAGGAGGGCAATTTTTTTTTATATGCACAAAAAGACCACGATAATAACCCATGATATTTATTTAAAAAATACATCTGACAGAAGGGGGTGGGGGGGTACACAGAGAAATCCGTGCATCATCAAACGTAATCTGACAGGCAATTTGACAGGTTCTCGAAACATTTCTTGTTCGAGAATCTTCTCCTCGTGGAATGCGATTTGTCATTTGTGGATTTGTCAAACTATAGTTGTAACTCAGTTCCTAATTTCAGTTTTCCGATTTCCATTCGGGTTAAGCACTATTGTAACGTCCTACGTTTAATATTGAACTGTCTAAAACACACACACACACACACACACACACACAATTGTAAAACAAAAAGCTTGTGTCGCAGACATTTCTTGAATGATATATTCATTAAATAATATAATTATCATTGGGTTTTGAACGTAGCGCCTTATCGCGTTCTCGAGACGTCTCGAAGCGCTTCGCAGAATATACCGCAAATTGAATGGACCGTCTATTTTTGTGGGCAAAACCCGACAGCCAATTGCGCGCAGCGGTGTCCTGATCAAACGACCAATTTCGTTTTTCGTCCCCGCAAACCAGATGAGTATTTCAAGCAGATTAGAATCAAATCAAATCTCGCTTCACAAGTGGTTGTGTGGGTGTTTTTAAAAGGAATCGACGCTGATCGGGACACGAAATATACTTCAATAGTTGTCTTGTCATTAAAGATCGACTGCGCATCAATTGAACTGGACATTCAATTAATATTGAAACGTTTGGCCCCCAAAAATATACCGTCAGCCTATATCAAAAATATACCGTTGTGGTGCTGTATTAAATGCAACGGTTATTATTATTGTCGATATTAGGGACCAAGGATTTCACCTGACAATTTTTAAAACACTTGAAATACCCGTCACCCGTCCTTGTTATATACGAAACAAACAAGAGGGTGGAAAATGCTGATATTTTAATAGAAATAGTCACTTACCTCTCCTCTGAAAATGCTGTGTGTGTGTGTGTGTGTGTAGTTTTATTTGTTAAGTTTCTGCACCGGGTGTTAGAAATTTCACAAACATCAACGTATCATCAGATCACAGATCCTCTGATTTTTTTTTTGTGAGATCGTATCAATTTTCAGCGACACTGAGTAATAATAAATACCAATCTTTGCATTTGATAGAGCGCTTTTCACGTCTTCCAGACACTCAGCCCGAAATGTGTTGTGTGCGTGGGTTTATTCTGGCTTTCAGTTTTTAATCTGCTGACTAGAACTCTCAAACAAACCGCCCCCCCAAAACCCCCACACAAAAAAAAATCAGAGGGTTTCCCAAATGTGTGTGTGTGTAATTTCTTCAGTAACTAAAATAAACCTTAATCGGAATAGATCGAGTCGGAAATGCGTGGCATCGACGAATTCATCTCATATTAACCAAAGTTGGGATGAGATAGATGGAGCAAAATGGTAATCTGCCTGTGTTTTTTTTTTAAAAAAACAATAAAAAAATTAAATTGCATTTTAAAAGCGGTCCTTCCCATTCCCACCCCCCACACCCCCCCCACACACCCCACACCCCCAGCACTGTGCAGCCCATCTCTCCTCTCCTTTGCTCGATCGTAAACATTGCACTATTAAAGTAAAGCGCAGACGTCTGCAAACCCCGTGTCCGCGGCTCAGACCGGGACCGGTTCACGGTATCGACCTTCGTTACCGGCAGCGCAGCCTCTGAGCGGAACTTTGCTCGTGGCTCTGCGTTGAAAACAAAATGCGCTGTCGATCAGGTGCGTTGAGTGCGTCTCGCATTTTGACCTAAACAGATGATTTTTTTTTAAAAAAAAAGTTACGACAGCGTTTGGTGATGTTCTGCCCCACTCCCCCACCCCCTGCAAACAGTTGTGGTGGTGTTTTTTTTTCTCTCTCTCTCTCTCTCTGAGCTATTTTGTTCGAAACCAACCGAAACCCTTGAATGGCATTTTTGTTTCCTCCTCTGCGTTTCTCTCTCTCTCTCTCTCTCTTTCTCTCTCTCTCTCCATCCTTCCTCATTACCAGGACCGCTGCTCTACCTTACACCACCAATTGAAAGTGCCAATTGGTGGGGTGCGGGCAAGCGGAAGAGCCCTGGGATTGCTTCTCACGCTCCACTGAGCAAACGATCTCGCAAAGGGAAAGTGTCTTTTTTTTTAAAAAAAAACGCCAGGAGAAGGCGACTCATTTCCACCCACCGCCACTTGCCAGCGAGCACCGCTCTCACTCACTCGCTCACTCACTCACTCACTCACTCACTCACTCACTCACTCACTCACTTTCGGGATCGATCGGGGAATCGCCGATGGTGTGTGTGTGTGTGTGTGTGTGTGTGTGTGTGCGGCCAAATCGATTCCGAGAAGCGATCGGTGAACACGAGTAAGTGATAACTGGATTTGTCTTCGCGTCTCTCTCTGTCTCTCTCTGCGTGTGTGTGTGTCTCTGTGTGTGTCTATATATATATACATGTGTGTGGTATGTGTGCGCGTATGTTCTATGTTGCTATCTTATGTGCACAGTCTCATATGCTCATATTACAGACCATACGTTTCTCACAGTTTTTTTTAAAAAAAAACCTAAGTCTCGTTCCTTTTACAAATCGCCTTTCGAAGTCGGGTCGAATCCGATAAGGTGCAGAATTGATGGACTGATTTTTGTAACATTTAAATTAAGATGAAATATAAAAATTCCCCCCCCCTCTCCCTCCCCCCCTCTCCCCCCCCCCTCCCCCTCCCCCCCACCCCCCCAACCCACCGCCACCTCCCATCTCCCAGGTCGTTCGAAACGGCTTCTGAACATCCAACATCTTAAGACATTTTGCGGGTTATTTTTATGCAATCAAAGTGTTAGCGAGAGATCAATTATCGACGTGTTCAAACAATATCCTTCCACGCAACGCAACCTTGCGTGGTCTAATCGAGCGGTGACTTAGTTCACTCGGTCCCGGCGTGGGAGTAGCTCTGCAGCTTTATTAATAAACAGAACGATTTTTTTTTAATTTAAAAAAAACCCAAAAAAAAAAGAGCAGCGAAGCGCTCTGCGCCGTGCGATTTTTTTAATTAATTCAAAGAAAAACCCGCTGACTGTTGGAAAAACCTGCCCCACTGGGGTTTTTTTTTTCTCTCTCTCTCTCTCTCTCTCTCAACGCGGTGAAAGATTATGTTTCACGTAAAATATGAACGGCGGAAGGTCGAGCAGAGAGGGACAGATGGACACACAATGGGGATCAGCCCTTTCAGTGCAGTGCGTTGGTTCGCATCAAGTGAACAATCCCTCGACTTTCCTCCAATGCACAATAGACCCGGGTCGGACTCGGGCTACATTTGCAGACACACAGCGGATAATCCATCTCTCTGATCATCCATGTGCAGGTGGGAATGCGTGGAATTACTCAGTTAAAAAACGGTGACTGCTGGGGTTCCGCGTGTGGCAGAAACCCGCTGATGGGGTGGAAAATATATATATATATATATAGAATGGACAGATAAGCATCTGAAGAATTTTTTTTTTCGGCCCAGGGTTTAGCCTGAGAAATCTTTGCAGAGAGCTCAGCAGCGAGTTTTGAAGTAAGTTTGTCCACGACCCATTATCAACCCCTCACCCCCCCCCCCCCCCCCACCACCACCACTGTTATAAACACAGTGGCTCTGTCAAGAATTGCTTGTAATTGTACATCCTTCATGGGATTGGAGTGGAGCAGAGCTGGTGATCTTTAGGAGTTTCTCGTGTTAAATTGATTTTCCACGCGTGTCACTTGGGATTCTGGAAAAAAAAATACAGATCAGAACAAGATGGAAAGAACGTGAGAAGGGGGGAGGGAGAGAGGGGAGGGGAGGGGAGGGGAGGGGGTGACTGAAGAGTAAATGACGGTACCGTGCGTCCAACTGTCATTAGATTCGGGCGAAAAGCACTGACTGGGGGTGAGGGGTACTGACTGGGGGTGACGGGGGTACTGACTGGGGGTGAGGGGGTAATGATTGGGGGTGAGGGAGTACTGACTGGGGGTGAGAGGGTACTGACTGGGGGTGAGGGGGTACTGACTGGGGGTGAAGGGGTACTGACTGGGGGTGAGGGGAACTGACTGGGGTGAAGGGGTACTGACTGGGGGTGAGGGGGTACTGACTGGGGGTGAGGGGGTACTGACTGGGGGTGAAGGGGTACTGACTGGGGGTGAGGGGGAACTGACTGGGGGTGAAGGGGTACTGACTGGGGGTGAGGGGGTACTGACTGGGGGTGAGGGGTTACTGACTGGGGGTGAAGGGGTACTGACTGGGGGTGAGGGGGACTAACTGGGGTTGAGGGGCTACTGACTGGCGGTGAGGGAGTACTGACTGGGGGTGAGGGAGTACTGACTGGGGGTGAGGGTACTGACTGGGGGTGAGGGGGACTGACTGGGGTTGAGGGGCTACTGACTGGCGGTGAGGGAGTACTGACTGGGGTGAGGGGGTACTGACTGGGGGTGAGGGGGTACTGACTGGGGGGTGAGGGGGTACTGACTGGGGGTGAGGGGTACTGACTGGGGGTGAGGGGGTACTGACTGGGGGTGAGGGGTACTGACTGGGGTGAGGGAGTACTGACTGGGGGTGAGGGGGTACTGACTGGGGGTGGGGGGGTACTGACTGGGGGTGAGGGGGTACTGACTGGGGGTGAGGGAGAACTGACTGGGGGTGAGGGGTTACTGACTGGGGGTGAGGGGAGTCTGGAGGGGGACGGGATAAAAAAAGGAAACGTTGTCAATAACTGACGAATGGAATTATCAGGCAACAGAAACGAACACGTAATGTGTATTATCTATAATTCTATAGTTATAGAATCATTATAGAATTCTATAGAGATATTTTGTATTATTTCTATTCTGTATAATTAACTCTATAATTCGTATATAATATGGATATATCTATAGTGTATTGATACTTACATCATGAGTCTTTTTTCACGCGAAAACAATGTCATGCAACAATCCTAACGTTATCTGGATTGCGACAGAAGTAATGAAGAGATGGTGAGGGTTCCCAAATTATTACTAAAAATAGCTTCATCTAATCGATCCAGTAACTCGATTTCAAGGCACATTAGATAAAATCATATAAGCGTCACAATAGCAATATTTGGATTCCTGATAAAGTTTGATAATTATATTATAGCACTGTTTATTAGGTGCCTCTATTTTGCTAGTGTCCGTTTGCATGGAAATGCCGAGAATGCATCGACGAGCACCACAAGACACGATTTCATCATTTCTGGCACAAAATGTGATGTATCTGCTCCCAATTCAACCAATTAGTTTAAGAGGATTAAATATATTGCACAGAACCATGTGCCCGGGGGACAGACTTCTTCTCGACCTGTTTTTCACACCAGAGTCATTCTAAGACCCGAAATGAAACCTTTTTTAAAAAAAATGTAAAAAAAAAACTTTATTCTTTTTGGCGAATGCAATTTGGCACGAAAGAGACATTCAACATTTATATTGCAATATACTATAATGGATATATCCATTACGTGTATAGGCACAGGCATTTTATATGTGTGTCACAAACACACAAGTAAATAAATAATTGCCTTTTTTTAATGCCAAATATATATTCTATTCCGTATGTGCTCGACAAAGACAACACATGAACCGAATGGTGTCATTCCTGCTTTACTGGGAGGCGCTAACAATTAACGTTGTGTCCAACAGCCTCAGGTGACAATTACTGGGGGTGATCAAATGGAAGAATTGATCATGACAGACAGACAGACAGGTTGAGATAGGGAATATGGTTCGATAATGTAGGTTACTTGTTCCCCGCACTTCCACTTAATCCCATGAAACCCCAAATTACGACCCAATTTGAACAGCAAATTTACACCCACTGCCAATACCCACCGCAGTGTGCCTGTCACCCTCCCTCGCCGTGTCCAGAAAGCTTCTCAGTCGCATTGGAAAGGGTTTTGCGTAAAAAGGCCACTTTCGAATGAACGTGTACGCACCGGTGCAACGATTCGCGTTATACACTATACTTGCAACCGTTTTATTTTCCAAAAAACAAACAAACACGAGTGTGTTTTCTATTGCAGGTGAATTATGGAACTTGCCCCTCTGTCTAAAGGACTATGGACAGTTGACCACAAATCTCTGCATCATCACTTCACTGATATACTAACCAGCGTACACACGACCCGCGAGATTCCTGAGAATGCAAACTTTGGTCCCTGTGTTCTGCAGAACTCGTTTTGTGACACAATCGCCTTTATCGCCTTAAAATCCGCCGACTGCAGAAGCGTTCCCTACGTCTTCAGGGTAAGGGGCTTCGAAACTCAGGCGCACTCCACACACACACGTCTTAGGTGCAACAGCGGATCGCACGCGTACACGAACTCACAAGAGTTTCCACCACGCCGCAGATGGACATCTATGCGTATCGCCAATGAGTGGCCGGACACGCGGGGGGCCCCACTGGTTAATTGAAACCGAGTCGATCTCATTCTTTAGAGAAGAAGTGGGGGGATCTTTCACAAGGACTGTGACCTGGGCCATGTCGATAAGCACATGTCGCAAGCGATCTCCACTGCAGCCATGTTCACTGGCTATTCCCCCCCATTTCATGGTTGTTTGATGGGACGTTTGCTGCTGTGTGCAAATTGGCTGCATTACACACACACACACACACTCTCCCAGTCACTCACACACACACACACTGTCACTCACACTGTCACTCACACACACTCTCAATCACTCACAGACACACACTCTCTCAGTCACTCACACACACACACACACACTGTCACTCACACACACTCTCAGTCACTCACACACATTCTCAGTCACTCACCGACACACACTGTCACAGGCACTCACACACACACACACACACACACACACTCGGTCACACACACACTGTGTCACTCACACACACTCTAAGTCACTCACAGACACACACTCTCACAGTCACTCTCACACACACACTCTCACAGTCACGCGTTGGCCTACAAACTGTCAGTCACTACACGATATAGCGCTATATCAAATGCAAGGATTATTATATCCAGACGCCCTCGTGATGTGAAAGACGTTTTATCAAACGCAAGGAATACAGTATTATTTTTTTGCGCTTAAATAATATAGTGTTGAAACGAATCGAATCAATGCTAAGAACAAGAAGACCTTGCATTGATACAGCGCCCCTCGTGCAGGGTAGCGTCCCAGAGCGCCTTTTTGTTGTCGTTGTTGTTGCTTGTAGCAAAAATTGCGTAAAATGTCATAAGTTTAGTAGGAAAAATTGTGTGAAAATCTCACAGAAATATAGATCGGGCAAAGTAGCATTTGTAAACCTAATTACCCCCTCCCCCCCTCCACCCCTTCCCCCCCGGGAAGTATTACTGGGGATTGGGTTCATATTGTAAGCGTCTAAATAACTTTCTTTCTCAACACCAGGTGGACGCCACGGCGATGAATAATTCCACGGATGGGTTGTCTTGGCTGAGGCTGGTGCAGGCGGCCACCAACGCGAAGGAGCAGAATTTGGAAGCGTATCTGAAGAACGGGCAACTGTACTACCGATCAGTTCGGAGGATCGGCAAAGATGAAGAACTCTTTGTGTGGTACGACAGAGAACTGTCCCATCTTCTTGGCTTTGGCGACAAGGCACACGGAGCTCGCTCCAACGGTGAGTAACGTTGGCAGAAGCTGTCCTCAGCGCCTTGGGATGTCCTCCCGACTTGAAAGGGCGCTGCGATCAATGTAGTTTTGTTGTTGTTGTAAAAGCTCTCTCTCTCTATATATATATATCAATAACTGGACCTTATCAATAACTGTAGCCTCACAACTCTCTTGTGAAGTTACACTGCAAAACTGTTTGCCATCCTGAATATACTTGGGAGCTAGATTAATAGACAGACCGACAGACAGACAGACAGACAGACAGACAGACAGACAGACAGACAGATGCCTGGCTCCCTGAATAAATATTTCTGTGATATTTTATGAATTTTTTGCTGCAAGAACACCCCCCTCCCTCCCACCGAAAGAAACGAAAAGGAAGACAAAACGAAGTGACTACCTAACTACTGGGCGATAATGTGTTTATCTTTTTGTTGGGGGGGGGAATACAAAAAAAAAGCATAATCTGTCCCTCCCCAAAAATTGACTTTTTTTAAAAAAAAAGCTTCGTTCAAAATTGGAAAGGGGCATTTTGTGGAAAGGATACAGGCGACTTGAGACATATTTGTTTTTAAACCAAAAATTAATAGCGCAGCAGGTTTGGGTGTCAGACAAGGGGGGTGGGGGGTGTGGGGGGGGGGTGTGGGGGGGGTGGGGGGGACACAGACAGCTCACACAAAGCTAAGAATGGGAACACACACAAGATACGTTGTGACAGACCGGATCAAATCCCAGGGGACAGGTCTGGACGGCGCAAACCCTTTGCCTCGTTCATCACTAATTGGCACTGAGTCTGGAAAAAAGCCAAGGGGGGGGGGGGGGGGGGGGATGGATGTGCCGCACTTAACAGTCATAGATGGTCTGGTCTGGTCTGGTGACATTTGGGGTTGCATGTGCATTTGTAGGGAAGTTTAAGGATTGCATGCAATGCAGTCGCTGTCAAGGCGCGTCCTTGTTTATTTCAGAGCTAAAACATATCCCGTGTTAGGTCACCGTGAACCCCCCCCCCCCCCCGACTTTAACAAAAACTCACTGCAAATAAACTTGGGCGCCCAGCACACCCAGGGCCCCCCCACCGAGGCTTTGAAATACTGCATATAAAATATGGGATGATTATTTCCATACAGCCTGAACCATCCGGAATTTTCACCTCGAATTCGGCTTCTCATACATTTCATTCATTCATTGCGTTTGATATCTAAGACCGGGTGGAATTTTTCATGTGAAAAAAAAATCTGTCTCGATTTGAAAACCGATTTGTCTTTCCAATAATTATATGTATGTATATATATATATATATATATAGGGACCCGTGGGCTGGAAAGAGAAAGATGTTAAGACATTTCCACTACGTTTATTAGGTAAATAGCGACTCTTTCTTGCTAACAACTATGGATGCAAATTCTCTTTCTCCCCCCCCCCCCCCCCCCACTCCCCACTCCCCAACACCCACCCACCCACACACCCACACACGTCCTCTTTCAGTATTTGCGGTTTTGCGGGCGTTGGGGATTGCGCCTTCGGTGCCATTTCAGCAGCTGTTGGAACAAGTAACGCGCAAACTGACTCCTCCAAGTCACAGACTGCAACGAAAAAGGCTGCGGCGCTCCTCACAGTCACTGCGCGTCAAAACGCGCGGCTGCACAAGAACCCGCACTGCTCACTTGCACCCACCCCGCAACCTTGGGGAGGTGCTGCCCTCAATACCTGTCATTGCAATTACACCACTCAGCAGCGACCCGATAAACAGCAATGCTCTCGTGGTGTTCATCCTGCACTGGCAAACCTTGTTGACTTATCTCTGTCTTTCTGCACCGCGTATAATCTCACTTTTTGCTTATTCGGGCAAGTTGCTGTACACCCCTTCCCGCCCCCCCCCCCTCCCACCCCCACCCCACACCCCACACCCCAACCACGACCATCTCGTCTTACAATTTGCCATCGCATATATTTTACGGGTGGTTGCTCCACAAAATATACAGTCAATTCACTTTACCGTATATTCGGTGAGGTGTGTTGAGACGTCTCAAAGACGTGATGAGGCGCTACATCAAATGCAAGGATTATTATTATTATTATTATCATCAATTCACGACTGTTTGTGGGACCCTGCTGTGCACAATTGGTGCCATGTTTCTCCCACAAAACACATAGTCACTACACTTTACAGTAAATTCTGAGAAGCGCTATGAGGCATCTAAACGATATGGTAAAGCGCTATATCAAATGCAAGGATTATTATTTCATTATTATTATTATCACCCAGAATTGTAGAATATTCTTAAATCGGGTCTCATATGAGACACAGATTCTCTAAGAAATGGCAAAACAACAACAACTTGAGACTGATTTTAAGAATTGTGCATTTTCTCTGCACCATCTTTGCCTTAAGATAATAAATAGTCTTTCAGGGCAAGCGTTGGTGAAATTCGTGGCCGGGCTGCCTTTGAATCATAAATAATTGTAGAGGTTGCTTTCAAGCAGCATCTATAACCACTTCACGGCTTTCTTTTTTGTCAAGTGTACGTGACTAATTGTACATTCTGAAGAAATAAGGCCAATTATGTGTAATAATAATAATCATAATCCTTGCATTTGATGTAGCGCCTTATCACTTTGTTGAGACATCTCAAAGCGCTTCACAGAATATACTGTAAAGTGAATTTACTGTATATTTTGTGGGGAAAAAAAGCAACACCTTTTTTGAACAGTTGATGTGATTTTGAATGCGTTGCTGACTTTGCAGTATCCTGTGAAGCGCTTTGAGGTGTCCTCCTGACTTGGAAAGTTCGATGTGAAATACAAGAATTCTCCTTATTGATTTCATCAGTAAAAAAATCATCGATGCTTTTCGGTACAACAAGAACAACAACTTGCATTTGTAGAGCGGCCCAGAGCGCTGCAGTCAGACTCCTGTGAGCTATTTCTCACTCCTGCTTTCATTTGGTAAACATTAGCAAGTGAGCTCAAGTGAGAGGACCCAGATTCCATTCCAGGGCACAGCGAAACCTTAGGCAAGTGTTGTGAGTCTGCACGCCTCTGTTTACCTAGCAGTAAGTAGGAACCAGTTTGTTATCGATGGCTGGTGCTTTGAGACCTCTTGAAAGCGTGATAAGGCGCTTTACCAAATGCAAGTATCTTGTTTAACCCTGTGGCCGTCTATCTCCCTGTTCAGCTTTCAGGTGCCTGGACTGCGGGCAGGAATTTAAGTATGAAAATCCCTACCTGGCGCATGTTCGCTTCTTGTGCGGCAAAAGGAAAGACCATCTGCTATGGAGAGATTTCCAAACCTTGGGTTTTGGGTCCAGCAGCGCCGTGAAAGACTCATACAAGAGCGTGGAGAACAGAGACAAGGAGCGAGGCATCAACTTCCACAGGATGGCTCATGACCTGGAGCACTCGAGGAAGAGGTCTCAGGAGGAGGGACGCATGGCAATGGAAAGGAACTGGGGCAAGAGAAAGCAGGAAGACTGGGAGGAGAGTAAAGTCAGGAAGAGCGTCTTATTGGAGAGAACCAACCACCTGGAGTGCGCTCAGGGCGGCGGCGTTTCCAGGGAGGACCCGAGCCGTATCCCAGCGCTGGCTCTTTCAGTCTGGAAATTCAACTCGGATAAATACCTGTTCCATAAGGACTCATCGCCCGACGACCACAAGAGGAGCGCGTTCACCGAGGTGCGGCGGCCTCGGGAGAGAGGGAAAGGGGACAAAACGGAGGGCCTGTCCAAAGCAGCAGGGTCTGAGCTTTCGGGGAGAGTGGTGCTGAGCTCCATCGGCAGCGCCTTCTCTTCGGTGTTGCCTTCGGGTCTCAGAGGGGAGCAGAAAAGCGCTTTCTGCCAACCGGCCAACCGGCGAGGGCCAGCGGACGCTCCCTCGACACTCTTGGCTCAGGCGCTCCAAGCTTCGGCGGAACGCGCCCAGGATTTTCCGGAGTCCGTCACCGTCGGTCGCTTCCTGAGCCCCGGGAACCTCCTGGGCTCCAGCAAGTTCATCGGCAGCGGCGACTTGGGCAACACACCGATCGTCCACACCAGCCCATTTCTGTACGCTGCCGCTGCCACCGCCGAGGCGTGGGCCAAGCCGGATGGAGCTCAGTTGCAATCCACCTCTTCCCTCACTCTCCTGCCCCCTTCCTTCACCTCTTTCGGTATCGCGGCACAAAATTGGTGCGCCAAATGCAACGCATCCTTCCGAATGACTTCCGACCTGGTCTTTCACATGAGGTCTCACCACAAGAAAGAATGCCCCGGCGATATTCTAACCAAGAGAAGGAGGGAGGAGAAATTGACATGCCCCATATGTAACGAATTCTTTAGAGAGCGCCATCATCTATCGAGGCATATGACTTCTCACAATTGAGAGCTTTGAATGATTCTTTTTTGGGGGGGAGCATGAGGGAGAGGGGGGGCGTGCGGTGGGGTGGGGATGGGGGGAGTGGAGGGAGGGGGCAGAAGAAAGGGTTTGGAAAAAATTTGCTGGAAGTCTTGGGTATGGATTGAACTTGAGACCCCGTTGCCTGAGCCAATGGATAGCTGTTCTCTTTCAGTGGGTCCAAACAAATACCCATTACTGTGCGGCGAGTGGCTTGGAAACCCACAAGTGAGTCAAATGATGTTGTGGGCATCCTGTTGACTTTCAACCTGAACGGGCAATGGATGGTCCATTTCATGCGGTTTGCAGAGATCTAGAGATGCCATCGGATCGCATCGATCGACGAGTCGGGAGTGTGAACTCCTCTATAGAGACTTAAGAATGCATATTTGTACTTTGCCGCCCAGACGATCCCTCTTTTTACAACACACACTGGTGTAAATCCTCTTCTCTGAAACGTTGTGATTTGTGTGCAATTGCCAATAGAATATGCCGCTGATATATATATATATAAAAAACATTCAAATGAATCTTTTTTTTCTTTTCGTTTGGCTTAAATCTATGGAACAGACTCCCCAGGGAGACGATGGAAACAGACAGTGTCGATGCAGTCAAATACAAATTAGATAGATTTATTCTAGAAAATAATATTTTGGGATACAGTATATGAGCAATTTGAAACATGACATAAAGTAAGTGTAGTATGATTGGAAGAACCAGACAATTTTGGGTCTCAGATTCCCAAAGTTTTCCACTGTGTTGTAGATTTATCCATGCAGAATTAATTGCTATCAACATCTTCATAATTGTATCATGCGACTTCCAGGATGGTGGAAAGCAAACTAGTTGGACCTTCTTTTTTTTCCTCTGACAATTCCTATGTTCCTTGATGCATTAACATGAAACACGTATGTAAGTATCCGCCCTTTTGCCACAATGACCTGTCTTAAATCGGGCTGTATTCCACATGCACTGATCCCACACATTCTTAGAAAATCCGAGGACACGGTAGGTTCTACTCACTGCTAAATTATTGAGTGTGTTGTGGAAAATATGTTTTAACTTGACCTCCTGATAGCTGTTGAGTTGACCATTTAAAAATGATATAACCATAATCCTTGCATGTGGTCCTTCCGCTTAGCACATCGGAAGGACACCTGAAAGCGCTTCCCAGGATATACTGTAAAGTGGATTGACTGTATTTGTAGGAAAAATGGTCTGCACAATTACGCACAGCAGTCTCCCCCAAACAGCCATTGAGTGAGTTACCAATTCTATTTACGATTGTTGGCCAGGACACCAGGAGAGAGAAACTTCCCTCTCTTTTTGAATAGTTCCATGGGATCTTTAACACCACCTGAACCGTGCAACAACCCCCAGTGCAGCATTTTTGGAGTTATCTTAAGATATGTGAGTTCAAGTCCCGATGTGGGATTTCAATCCACAATCTTCTGACTAAGAGGAAGTATTGCTGCCAACTGAGCCAGACTGACACACATGTGGAGATTACATCCTGTGAAAATAGATAAATTTGTATCTGATTCTTGGTGGGTACTTAGAAGCCTGTGGAATGGTTTTACACCAAAGCAATTTGGGAATCCAAACAGCTGGTAATATACAGCGAGAAATGTGCTGTTCAATTATTAGGTCTTTCATTTACAGACCATACAGTCCCTGCCAATTTTTAATACTTCACATATTCCTCTTCCCTGTTCTCTAATGTATACAAGACGAAGGTTATAATGAATATAGCTCAAATCCCCAAATATCCCTTCAATATTTGTTTGATTTCTGTACCAAATCAATCAATCAATCAATCAATCAATCAATCAATCATAATAATAATTAATCTTAGCATTTGATACAATACCTTTCAAGTTGAGTGAACATCTCAAAACACTTCAGGTGATTTTCTATAAAGGCTAATAACTGCATTTTGGTGGAGGTAGGGCAGCCAATTTGTGTTAATTAATGCCTTACAAACAGCCATTACAACAACAACAAATTAGATTTATATAGTGCCTATATAAATCCAAGTTGTTGTTGTTGGGATGACAACCGTGAAATGGATACCAAACATTGTTGTGTGTATGCAAGAATCAATGCCCTCTCCCCCCACCGTCACCCCTACATCAATCAGTTGGAACTAGATATTTCTGGAAGGATGTTCTGCTCCTTGAGAGTATATTGAATGCCCCTCAAATGTAGTCTTCTTCCCCCCTCCCCCCCGTTAACATATACGGAGGAGCTGAAACAAGCTGCAAGAGGTGCATTTCACCTTGTCACTCCATCATGCACCAAACACGGTGACTCACACCCACCTTCTGGGTATCTAAATAAAATTAAACACTTGTACTGAATATAGTTAAGTATAAATTTAAAATTCCACATAAAATTATTATCATTCTTCCACGTGCTTCAGTTGTTTGTTGGTGCCCCTATAGGAGACTAAAACACATGGAGGGCTGCAGGACTTTGCGGACACCCTGGTATTTTGCTGTTGCAAACGGTTCGTGCTTCGATCCAGGCAATTGGACCACAGAGAAAAATTTAGGAGATGGCCAAAGTGATCATTAAGTGCATTGGCGTCATGCAACCAAGGCATTGGGGCCAGTTGAGATAGTGGCTTTGCCTCGTGATGTAAATTGAAACATTGAATCAATCAATCAATCAAATCAATGAATTGGCTGCATCTGTGGTGAGGTTGAGGGCTTCAGGCACTTACACCCCAGAAGGAAAGCCTTTCCTTTGGACCTGACCCTCTGTGAGAGCCTTTCAGATTCAGCTACGATTTGAGGTACATTTTCTACTTTTTCTTTACCATGGTTTCACCAGGAGGAGAGAGTCGTTACACGGGTTTAAGTGGACGTTTGGGCAATGGTTACCTCCCAGCGACGAGAATGGCTGTGGCTGAAATCGACCATGATTTCACTGCGAGGATTGCAATAGAACATTAAGATGGATTTATGATACGATGTGATGGAAGGGGAGCGTTTGCAAGTCTTCAACAATTTGGAATGATGTTTCATTCCTTCTCCCAATTATCTTGTCTTACTTCCCAGAGCCTGGCGTTGGGTATTTATTGGCTGATGTGGTTCTAAGCGTAATCGTGTGAATGATTCCGTTTTTTGAAAGTTACGTTAAGCAGTTTTTGGTTTTAAAACATCCTTGTTTTGTATTACACCCAAAGCGGATGAGCTCATGCTCTGCTCCTATGTTAATAATTCGTGAAAGAGCAGGATTGTTTGGTGGTGTTGGCATTGCCGACGTGGTCTTTGCACATGATCGTACACATTATTTAAGGGAATTAACTGAACATTCATTATTTGCAGCTGCAAAAAAAAAGTAATATTGTATGTTGCATCATGAAGAGTCTTCTACAGGGATGTTTAACCCAACAGCTTATCATGCGTCAAGTTTTTCCAAGCAATCCTCAAGTGGAAACTACTAACTTAAAACTGAGTCCCCAGAGAGCTTGTGTTGTACTATGAAAGCTTTTCAGTTTCAGAGTGTCAAAGCAAATCTTTCACAGCGGGTTTCTTCTGTGGGATCAGAACAATTAAAGCATCTCATTTCACCTGTAGCGTATTTACAAGAATGATTGGAGTTGTCTGTGGCTTTTGGTTAGTCATGTGTTTTCTTGTGGTGGAAAGGTGGCAGCTGGTGACAACCAGTTTCACCTCAAGAACATGCAAAAGTAGGGAATGCAGTTGGAGTTCATCAAATCGTTTTCCACCAGACATTAATTATCCTTCCTAGATTTCATCCCACCCACTCTTGGGGAAGGTTCTGCAGAAACTCCCAGTTGAAACAAACAGCACTCTCCTCCTTTCCCTCATATCTCTATTATTTAAAGCTTCTCCCCACATCCATCATTGCATCCCATTAGAGGAGTAATTAGTTTAACCCAGCTCAGTTGATAGCACTCTCTCCTCTGAGTCAGAAGATTATGGGTTCCCAATCTTTGAATTCATAGTCTTGGTTGACACTGCTATAGTGCTACATTTTTAGAGGTGCTGGCTTTTGGAATAGGATGTTCATTCGTTATCCTGTCTGCCTATTCAGGTAGATGTTAAAATCCTACAGCGCTCTTTGGAAAGGGAACACAGTTTTTCCTCATTGCCCTGGCCAACAATCCCCCAGATAAAACTGGTCATTCACTTCTGTTTGTAAGCTGTTTGTAAGACATTGCTATTCACAAGACACAGCTGCTGTGTTTGCCTACAAATACAGAGTTGCTACACTTCACAGTGAAATCCTTTGACGTGTTTTGAGACTTCTCAATGACGTGATAAGGTGCTGTAGCAAATGCAAAAAATATTCCTGTCTTTATTTTTCCAGTGGTGCTTTCAAGCCTGTATTTTCATGCTTACTACAATTCACTGTAGATTGCATTGTACGTCTCATGATATCATTCCAGTAGAGACAATAAAAACAAACCAGATAACCACATTTTCATCCATCTCCTTAATTTAAATAGTTTACTGTATTAATTGCTGCTGGTACAGGAGAATTATAATAATGTTTTAAATGAAACACAACAATCATTCACACAGAGCACCAAACCTATATAATGGTTGACCGAGCCTCATAAAATCACATCACATATCACCGTGTTTGACCAAAACTGTTCGTAGATCTACAAATGAAATGTATATAAACGAGGCACCCACATGAGTTGTGTAGCCCTAAAAGCATTTTCGAAGACAGAAAGGACTGCTTTAAAATTCACTCATCACATTATGCTTCAAAACATTTATTATAAAACCTAACTTCTGCAAAACAGTACATTTTGACCCCCACTATTTCTAAGCTATAAACTACATACATCATTAATGGTAGGGGCATTTAAATCTAGTAATTGCCAATCTCCTCTGGTTGGCTCTTGGTCCTTTATACACTGAAGAAATACAAAGAATAAATTAGACTATTTAAGCTCTAAACAGGTACATTAGGAACTTCCATGGAGTTGACTTCTCATTAACTCTTTGGCTTTTTCAAGTGCTGTCTCAGCAGGTACCTCGATATGAGGTGTCACCCCTATCCCTTCCCAGGCAGCCTTCTCAGTTGGGGTGAATGATCTGACAGTCGGGATAGTCAGGTAAAGGTTGGTGTCGCCTACTTGGTAGGTTTGAGGAGGGTGACACCCGCCACTTGTTACCTCGCCCACAATGAGAGCTCTTCCCAATTTCTTCATGATGTAAACAAACTCTTCCGCTGCTCCTGAAGTGATCTTGCTGACAAGCACGACGAGAGTCTTTCCAGAGCCGTACCGTTCACCTTTGTGATTAAAAATACAAAGCCTGGAATACAGTACACGTAGAGAAGGAAGCTTCTCCCGAAAACTACCCCAGATAAAACTGGTCATGTACGTCTTGAGTCTTTGCGAGACACTGCCGTACGCAATTGGCTGCCGTGTTTCGCCCACAAAATATACAGTCAATTCACAATGAGATTATCCTTGCACTATATCATATGCAACGATTACTATCAACAGTAAATCGCGTGAAGCACTTTAAGGCATCTTCCTGATGTGAAAAAGTGTTATATCAAATGCAAGGATTATTATAGAAATCATCAATTATCAATCCATATTTACAATGGTGCAAATCTTCACAAATATAGGAATGAACCGAGCTTTCAGTTGATCCGTTACCTGCCACCTGAGGAATTGCCTTCATTTCGGAGATTGTATCAGTTGGTCTACTGTAGACAGTGTCCAGGAGCACAGTTTTGTCATCATCAAAGAAATAGGAGCAGAGGATTGGGATAGATGACGTAGGGCCTCCAATGTTGTACCTGTGGTCTCGCAATGAATTTGTCTCAATTATTAACGGCAGCAATGAAAGTTTTTTGTAGCAAATAAAATGCTAAGATATTATTTTAAATGCAGAGGAAGTATGCACACGCAACTGCCAGATAACGTGCTAATTTGTAATTTGCTGTATTACAAATTGAAGATTATTTTGAAGTAGGCAAATAAAACATCAAAGTTAATATTTACTTAAAACTACAAGAATTATTGAATACAAGGATTATTATAACTGCATTTCAAACACTTGGAAAGAAATTGAGTCAGAATTGTATTTGATTCAAGGAAATATCGATGCAAAGCAAAGTAGGTGCCTTAACTGGAAAGCATTGCCTGAAAGGGTGGTGGAAGCCGATTTGATAACAACCTTTAAGAGAGTAGTAGATAATTATTTTGGGAGGACAAGTTTGCAGGGCTATCCGGAGAGCGTGGGTGCGTGGGATTGATTTGGGTAGCTCTTTTCAAAGAGCCAGCAAAGATACGATGGGCCGAATGGCCTCCTTCTGTGTTGTATAATTCTATGATTCTGTGATAGGTTACTGCATGGATTTATCAAAATATCTGCCTTTCCCATAAAATAATGAAACCCGAGTCTCAGCAATGCATCTTTTGATGGCTCTTATCCAAAGACTTTTAAATATTGGTGCAAGATAAAGCATGGATTTTAAAAAAATGGGAAATAAAACTTAGTTACTGAGGGTGAAGATACAATATATATACAATTTGTAAAATTAGTTAAGGTTGTGCTAGGTTTGTCTTCATTTCCCAGTGTAACCTAAATAAAACAAAATAGCCAAGAACTTTCATTAACAAATGCAACATTTAGCCAGTCATGGGATAAGGTAATTCCCAAAAGTCCCAGTTGGGAACTCCACAAGCCATCACATTTACATACCAAATGATATGTACTATTTTACTTGCATAGACCTTTCTTAAAATCTTGCATCTGTCACACTGTATATTTTTCTAGATCCAGCTTCAGAGGAAATCATCTCGATCCTGTCTATTGAATGCATTTGCCTCAATTGTAGTTGATAAATAATTCCATTAAAACATTACTATTGATTAAAAATATGCAAAAGTATACAATACTAGATAGTTTCAATGCTAAAGAATATACAAATGTTGTTAGTATAGAAATGCCTTGTAATTATCCCATATTACAAATGTACATAATTTCCAAGCTAAAATCCAATTAAATTACCATGTAAGAAATATTATAGTTTAGTTGCTCAAATCTTTCGTCTCCAACAAAGGCTTAGAATACACATCAATTGTACAATATGATTGTGTATCATATCATCAGAGCCCCTTGACAGCACAAGCTTGTAACTTGGTTTACATCTCCAATATTTACCTCCATGATGTGTTAGAAGAAACAAGTGACCACCAGATTTTTAGAAAGCTACAATAAACAGGCAGACTCAAATGTGGAATATCCTTGTTTTGGTTGAGGAAGGCTACCCCTACCGCACAAGTCTTCATGTCCCTTATGAAGGTTGTATCCACAAGTGTGGTGAATGAAGTTTTATTTTATAGTTGCTCCCTGAGTTGTTGTTTATATAACTTGAGAAAGAAATGATTTCATGAAGTATATGAAAAATAACCTGCTCTTAACTTTAATGGGAGCTCCAATAAGCATTTTTGGGCAGTTCAGTACGCCCCTCGTTGAAGATGTTCAACTAGGATTAAAAAGTAGTTTTACAATTGCTAATGGAGTGAGGTAAAGCTTTTTCAGGTCCATAGTTAACTTAAGTATCATTCAGGCTGACAATCCAATGCAGTTGTGACACAAAGCAGTACTGTCTTTTGATGAGACTTTCAACCAAGTTGACATCTACTTAAATAAAATCTGTCATTCACTGACTGTTTGTGAGAGGTTGTGTGCCAATTGGCTGTCACATTAACCTGGTGTGTAGTAAAACGACTTGTATAGTAAACTGTCCACGTCAACAACTGCCCTGACTTTGTTTTTTTTTTAAAAACTTGTTTCAAGAATAAGCCATGGGTTTTTCTAAGTTTGGGCTCATGTGAGCAGTGATGGGATGTTAACCCAATTGTTGCTTGGTGTCAGCTTGGGCTATTTTTTCAGCAATAGAAACACATGAGTGTAAAGAATAAATATTAGGGGACCAGAATAATGCAGTTATAAATGCAGTCTTGCATACCTTTGGCACTTGAAACTCTAACATATATGTTCATAAGTTATGGTATTATTCTAGACTCGAGGTTCTCATGGAACCCAAGGAAAATAATTTTGCAAGGCTGTTGCATCTATTTGCTGAGTGCTTTGTCATGGAAACAAGCCATTTGGCTCAACTGGTCTGATGTTTATATTCCATAAACATGCACCTCTCCTGTTGTCCCTCACCTTTACTCCTCTATTCCTTTCTCCCTCATGTTAATTTGCCATGATCCCTTTGCACTATTGTGCACAGCATTAACAAACCACCAAATTCAGATGACAACTTCAGCTTTAACATTCTGGCAATAAGTTATTTATTGTTCTTCTGTCCCTTAATTATTCAGAATAATTTGGTCACTCAATCCATGACTGTTTGTGGGACATTGCTGCCATGTTTCAACCACAAAACGTACGGTCAATTCACTTTATAGTATATTCTGTGAGGTACTTTGAGACATCTTCACAATAACCAAGTGCAAGGATTATTATTATTAAGTCTGATGGACAAACTGTAGTCCTCACCGGTGCAGTTACAAGGATTTGTGAAACTAACTGTTCTTGCATGATAACGTCTGTCAAACTGCAGAGTCAAACATAAATAGCCTGATAAATGTATCTTCAAGCAGGATTGTACCAGAACAATGTTCCAAACCATGTAGCATTATAACATAATGGGTCTATGGATGCAGTTGAGTTAAATCAATCACGAACTGTACACATTTTATGCAATATTTGGCACCTTAAACGCATGGACTAAAAAAATACATTTGGGAAACAATGTATAATTTACCTGAGATCTACAATCAAAGAGCTGGTGCTTGCGATAACATTCCACACATGCTTGGCCATTAATTCAGAGACTTGGGTGATCATTTCATTATCTCCGAACATGTCGAATCGAAGGTAACCAACATTATTCTCTAAGACTTTTGTCTGGTATGAAAATTTAACCAAGTCCTCAAGTATCTCGGGAGGTGGCATCTGCAGTGGAGGGGGAGGGGGAAAGAGAGAGAGATGGACAAATAAAATTGATTAGTGTTCACAAATGCTGAGTTCCAATATTTTCAATGTGTTGGAACTTTTCTCTCTCTCTTCATCACAACATTTCATTTCTTTCTGTGTTTAATTGATATTACTGTAGAGTCCCGGAGCTGCCACGTTTCGTTCACAAAACACAGTCAATCCACTTTACAATATATTCTGTGAAGAGCATTGAGATGTCTCGATGATGTGATCAGGTGGCATATCAAATGCAAGGATTATTGTATATTATGATATATAGGGGGCGAAAATGCTGTGATAATTGCGACTTCGGGTTACTATTCGCAACTTTTCGTTGCAAATCCCTCATTTAAGTCACCCTGACTAGAAACCATTTACCTGTATCATGGCGATACCTGGTGTCTGATGCTTGGAATCTCCAGGGATATGAACTGCCTTGAGGTGCTTATCACCCGACAATTGTTGAAGGGTGTCTGAGAGAACCTCAGCCAATTTACCCTCAGTGTTAATCATGCCGTAGCCAGTGCCTTCAATCAAATCCGCTATCGTTTCAGCTACTCCCGCACCGGTTTGAGCAAAAGCGTAATTGTCGGCCACCAGTTTGCCAGCTGCCTGGAATATGGAGGGTATTTTGGCACGGAGATTGATGATGCCAAGGGCGACAGTCATGGCCTCGTTAGCTTGGACTATAACGTGTGGTTCCGCTCCGGAAACACTCCACACTTTCCCTGTAACTGCGCTTAGCACCACCTGGTTAGGAATAGATGCATAGAGGTGGCTGTTTTCTATTCTGTACGTACTGACGGATAGGGCGCCTCCTACAGTTGGTTCGCCTATGACTGTCGCCCTATTGAGTTCTTTCATCGTTCTTGTGAAAGCCTCGGCGGCCGAGCCTGTAATATGGCTGGTGAGAATGTAGATGTCATTCCTAGAGGCGTATCTTCGGCCAAGTATTTTGGGCAGGGTCCATATTTCGGTACTTGCTGAGGTGGAGCGGTCAAACACGGTGTAGAGGTGGCGGACGGGGTTTGCCTTAAAGAAGTAGGAGCATAAAATTGGAATGGCCGTGGAATATCTCCCGGTGTTATACCTCATGTCAAAGATCAGGGAATCTGTGTCCACCAGTTTGTTCCACACTTGATCCAACAATTGGGGCCCAATAACCTTGATGATCTCAGCGTCCGCCATCATGTCAAACCGCAGGTAGCCTATGTTATTGGGCAACACTTCCACTTTGAAGAGTGCTTTGATGATGTGACTGAGCTCCTCAGGAGATGGGATAATGGGAGCACTGCCGTCCGTGACCTCAGGCTGCAGATCACTATAGAAAACGTGAAGGCGGTGATCTCCAGAGGTTTCCTGCAGGTCCACTGTCAACCGAGAAGCCAGCGACTCCCAATCCACAACAGATCGGTACAGACCCTGGGTCAACTTAGCACTCAACACCGCGCTGACCTCGGCAGCCACCTCGGGAATAGCGTAATGGACAGCCAGCAGTTTGCCCGTGCTCTCCACCAGCTCAGCCACTTGAGCATGGAACCCAATGATCTCCTTGGTCCTCTCCAACGTGTCCTCCGCTAGGACTATAGAGTCGGGCACCACTCCGCCGCCCAGCCAGCACTCCCCGTGGTTGTCCATGAAGTTGATGAAGGGGATGGTGATCACCAAGTGGGTACTTGGGATCTGAAATGACCTGGAATGAAGCAAGGAACCCGAGGTGATCTCCCCAACTATTGTGGCCCTGTTCAGTGACTGCAAGAGGTAAGCAAGCTCCTCGGCTGCTGTGGCGGTGCGGTGGCTGGTGAGCACGTAAATGTCCTTCCTTGACCCGTACACGTGTTGACCCACGCCAGGCAAGGTGGTGAAGTGGCTGGTGGTGTTGGTCAGCCTGTTGTACACCGTGAAGAGGCCAACAGGTGGTTCCGGGTCATAGAAATAAGAGAGCAATAGAGGCACCACGGAAGAGTGGCCCCCCACATTGTGTCGGAGGTCCACGATCAAGCGATCGGTATCTTTACAGGCAACCACACCTTCTCTATGATGTATTGAACCAGTTTGCTCATCACCGAGATCTCGGGGAATTCATCGAATCGGAAATAGCCGGTGTTGTCAGGCAGTACGCTGACTTTGAACACGGTATCCACCAAGGCTTGGAGGAAGGTCGGGTCTTCAGGGAGCTTGTCACTGGTCGGGCTGGACTCTCTGGTGACCGGGGGCTCTGACATAACCTTCACAATGAGGCGTGGGTCCTCGGAGACGCTCTGAAGCTCTGAGTTGAGCTTAGAGGCCAGATCTTCTTCGGAGACCACAGAGGAGCGATCGACTTTGGATATCTGCTGAACCAAGGTGGGCACCCGCTCCCAGAAGGAATAATAGGTGCGGAGAAGCCTCGATACGGTTTGGAGCATACCGGGCACCGCTTTCCTGATTCCGAGGATGGACTTAGCTTTCTCTAGAGCATCCTGGGCGGCGGCAGGCACACAAGGGAAGACCCCGCTTACCTCCCAGCTCTGCCCGGTGATGGGGCTGATGGATCTAGACACCGGCATGGTGATGAAGAAGTCAGTCTCTCCGATCCTGAATGTCTGCAGGTCCAGTGAGCCCCCCGCTGTGTGCTCGCCCACTAGAGTGGCCCTGTTGAGATGTTTGAGGAGGTAAGCGATGCCCTCACTGATGCCTTTCGTGTTCCGGCTGATGAGGACCACCAGGTCTTTGTCCTTGCCGTATCTCTCGCCCAACAGAATTGGCAGAGTCCACGTCTCCTGGGTGGAGTTGGACGGACGGTGGTAAACTGAGTCGATATGGAGTATGGGTTCCGGGTCGCAGAAATAGGAGACCAAAAACGGGATGCCAGACACCTCCCCGCTGGTGCAGTAGCGCAGATCCAGAATGAAAGTGTCCGTGTGGATGATGGTCTTCCAAACCATGTCCACCAGCATTGGGCCAATGCTTCTGATGGCTTCCTCTCCCAGGATATGATCGATTCGCAAGTAGCCCACGTTGTCCTCCAAAATAGAGAAGCTGATCGACTGGTTGATCAGGGCCAGAAGCATCTCGGGGCTGGGCTGAGTGACCTGCCCGAGGCCTGAGAGGGAGAAGCCAGGCTTGTAGGAAACCACCAAGCGATGGTCGTTCAAGGATTCCTGGACACCAGCGCTCAACACAACAGCCAAGGTTTGGGGATCGGTTATGTGGAGGAGTTCTCCGCTATCAATGGCTTCCTGGATGGCTTCCTTCATCCCAACCAGGTTCTCCGGGAAACAATAATTCTCCAGAAGCACATTTGCCATGTCCATCACCAAGGAGGGGTGGAAAGTCTCCCCTTTGGACACCCTGCCAAATAGCAACATCCCCAGCACAATGCACACAATTCCAGGCATTGTCCCTTTAACTCGAGTTAAAGTCTGGCCCCAAAAAAAAACCCACACAGCCCAAACCCAGCCAAAAGCTTTCTGAGGACCCAGGACAAGACTTATTGTACCATCTTCCACTCACTCTGAAAAGAAAGCAGACTGCCAGACACTCTTAAATCAGGTGACGCTGGATAAATTGAGATTACAGTCACTCACTGTTCCCTGAACCTGTAATCGCATTAAAATGGGATGCATCAGCAGGGCAGGACAGAAGGGCGGTGGCATTAGCATGTAATAATAGCATTTTTCCTCAACGTTGATGTCTCCTACCCCACCCCTCGCACAATAAAACTTTCTACCCGATCCCGCCATCCCTCCATGTACAAGAGTGTACCTTGTAAGTAATAATAATGTGGTCACTCAATCCACGACTATGAATGGGACACTGCTGTGCACAATTTGCTGCTGTGTTTCGCCCACAAAACATGCAGTCGATTCACTTTACAATATGTGCTTTGAGACGCCTCGACGACGTGATAAGTTGCTGTATCAAATGCAAGGATTATTAATATTTACCTTTCAATGCAGAAAGTAATTGGTTTGCCCATCATCATACGCAAAATACAGACACTGCACTTGGCCAGAATTTCTGTGAAACGCTTTGAGAGGTCCTTCTGACACGAAAGGTGCTGTATCAAACATAGCGATTGCTGTCATAATGTGCGATCTGGAAACAGCCTGCTACAAACTTAGGACTTGTACTCTGGTAATATTGAAAAGGTACAAAGTAGGGATTCTGGTTGGTACATCCATTCAGTAAATGCTGACTAACAATTTTTTAAAAATAATTGAACCAGTTGTAAGTAGTTTTGTAAAGCCAGGACAAGTCCAACACACGGTTGTCCATTATGTTACCTCAAGTAAATCTGTTTTGACTTTAATCCCTTCAGAGTGTGGATTAACTTTTAATACCATCCAGTTAACATATGGCCATGTCATGCCATGGTTCTCAGCCAATTGGAAGCAAAGCAGCTGTTACACAGGGAGAGTTATAGCGGTGTCGGTGACCGGGGGTTAAGTAACAACAACAACAAATTACACTTATATAGTGCCCTTCACATCAGAAAGACATCCCAGGGCACTGACAGTCAGGGGTTTTCCAAGTAAGGTTGAAAGCGTACAGCAAATGGGAAGAGTTACAGTGAGTAAACTAACGTGCCAAGTTAGGTGATTTTTTTGCCAGGTGCTACCCAGTTAAAGAAAAACACTGGTTCATTTCAAATGCATTAAATGTTGGTTTTGGAGCCGTTCTAAAATCCAGAGTAATTTATGACAGTATATATATTACAGGCGATGAGTAAAAAAAAAAGAGAAATTCATACAGTACACTAAAGTATTCTTGGTGTAGGGTAGTTGAGATAGACACACGTACTGGCCGAAAAGAGGTGTTTTTTTAAAGTAGTTTTTTTCACATTTATTGCAGAAATTGTGTTTGACAAGCACTTCAAAGCACACTTTTCCAGTTACATAACTGTATTAGATGTGAAAATTAATGTGTGCATTCTTTCAAAAATCATTTACAATAAAGGCTTGACCCAGTGGAATCACAATGCATTTTTGTTGTGACTTTAATTCTCATTGCATTTTCTGTTTATACCAATATTTATGTGTTCACAATGGGAGATTTTTTAAAAATATCTACAGAACTCAAAGGCAAAATTAAAGTCAATTTGGTGCAGCATATTTGTAACTCTTGCTTTGGTTTAACATACAGCTAATTTAACAATCCATTTCACCCAATTATTTTGTGAGTTTTGTATTGAAAAACCTAGAAAATTATTAATTTCTTCAGCAATACTGTAACTAATGCTGAATCCCACTGTCTTTAATTACAGGGATGCTAATGTGTATTTAATCTTTATTTTAACCTTTTTTGATTGGGTACATGTTCAAAAACAACTAATCCTTGCATTATGTAGCACCTTATTACATCTTTTACTGTAAAGTGTAGTCACTGTATTTCCAGGCAAGCATGCAGCCAATTTGCCCACACTGATATCCTACAAACCGTGATTAGGTGAATGACGAATTTCATCTGGGGGATTGCTGACCAGGACACTGGGAGAAACTCCCTTTGTTTTATGAATAATACCAAGGGATCTTTATCGTGCTTTTGAACAGGCAGATGGGACCTTGGTTTAAAGTCTCATTCAACAGAGTGATTCTCCCGAGCTGCTTTGGAGTGTCGGCCACAATACTGCAATTACATAATGCATCTAATCCGTAATTGTAATTTAAGATGAAATGGAAATTATTATAGGATCGATTAATGGTGCATTCGGCTTGGGTTTTGGTTAAATTATTATTTTTAAAAAATTCTCTGATGCATGTTTTAAATGTGTTTAATTTAGGCTTGTATAAATTTAAATTATGATAATTGTGCTGAACAGCTCCTTCCTGGCTTTATATTCTAGATCTTCTAGATTGCCACAAGATGGCGCTCATGATTTTCTTTGTAATTTCCTAGTTGGTTTTGTGACTATTGCTTTTGCCTTTCTTAATAATAATAATCCTTGCATTTGATATAGCGCTTTTTACGTCGGGAGGACGTCCCAAAGCGCTTCACAGAACACACTGTAAAGTGAATTGACTGTATATATTTGTGGGCGAACGCGGCAGCCAATTGCGCACAGCAATGTCCCACAAACAGTCGTAGATTGAAAATGATCAATTTATTATTGGTTTTGGTTTTTGGAGGGATTATTATTAGGCGTGTGGAGTAAGGAAACTTGCCCAAGGTTTTGCCCTGCCTGGAATTGAGCTCAGGTCTCTCACTTAGCTACAGGACTCCACAAACTTCCTGGGTTCAGGTAATTGAATTCCCACCTTTGATACACCAAAGCACAGGACTTCTTTGGACAATAGCACCTTGGCTGCATTGCTCAATATTACTGTCAGTTAGGCTCAGTTTGTACCACTCTGTCTTTTCAGGTGGAGGTTTGATCTAATGACTGTTTGTGGAACTTTGTCATGTGCAAACTGGCTGCCACATTTGCCTACAAAAACATTCCCTAAACATAAGAGGAATTACCAACAAATAGACATTTTGACAACATAGGAGGTAAATCAAATGCAAGGATTATTGTATTGCCTTGGATTATTGTATCAGCGCCTTGGGACGTCCTCCCGACGTGAAAGGTGCTATACAAATGTAATGTTGTTGTATTGTTAAAGTTTATGAATACTGAATCACAATAAACCCTATCCAAAATGAAAAGGTAATAAAAGCATGCTTTTATTTACTCATTTATTGTCGACAATAACAGGTGATATATTTTTAGCTTGCATGGCAAATTGTTAATAAGAATGCCAGAGAATTCAGTCAATCAAATACGCTGCAGACCAGATTCCCTCAATGTCTAATTTTGTAAGCATTTATGCTAGTCATAGATGAAACTGACCTTTATTGTATATAATAGATATTCTGACCTATAAGCAATGCTAGTGTTCACAGGAGCATACCCCTTGTTGTAAGCTTCATTTTGAATATCAATTTTGCATTGACAACTTGCCAATTGACTATATAGGAGCAGATTCTTGGGCAAATGGTACTCAATAAGGTGATTTATGGCAGGTCACTGCTTCCAGGGAATTGATGGTGCTAAATCCATTCAGAAACCAACTCTTGCCTCACAGATACTTCCACTGGGGGGTGCTCTGGGAACATTAAGTGTGATGTGAACTGTTAGTTCTGTGTGAAGAATGTTTTCTGTCTGGAACGTGTCATGAGTATCACAACGCCTTTTTGCAGAATTTGCATACCACTGATTTCTTAATTGATCAGAGAAAAATGTTATTCCTAATGGGCTCAATCAAGTTAGAACCCTCGCAAGCGAGAGGATCCAGGTTTGATTTCCGGGCAGGGTGAAAACTTAGACAAGTTTCTTTACTCCACACGTCTGTTTGCTTAATAGTAGGTAGGAACCCAGTTGTTAGTCGATTGGCGCATTGTTTTCCAGGTGTAATGATCCCTTTTTTAAGGAAAAAATGGTTTGGTCACTCAATCCACGACTGTTTGTTGGACACTGTGGTGTGCAATTGGCTGCTGCTTTTTGCCCCCCAAGAATACAGTCAATTCACTTTACAGTATATTCTGTGAAGCACTTTGAGACCTATCAATGACGTGATGAGGCACTATGTCAAATGCAAGGATTATTATTACTATTTAAAGCAAGTTGAAGAGGGAATCCGAGTCATTTGTGAAGGAAATGCTGCAAGCTTGGAGGTGACTTCTCTAACATTTAATAGGACTGCGATGATCAGTGTTGTCCAGGGAGTTGAATGTTGGAGGTTCAAAGGGGACCCAACTTTCAAGCATCTGAGCAAATTAAAGGGGAACCATTGAATCTTCCATTTGCCAGTGTTGAGCAGTGGCAAGATCATCCCAGCAGGAGATAGTGTTTAAGTTTTTGATCAAAGTATTTTTCTATGCTTTCATTTTTCTTTACAGTGAAACCTGTAAAATTCTGTGAAAAGTGTTTTGAGATGTCCTCCTGACGTGAAAGGCACTATAACAAATCCAAGGATTCTTATTTATCTATCACCATGCTGAAAGATGGTAGGGAGTTCCAAAGTTCTGCATCGTAAATGTCACACAATTTGAGAACCGAACAAAAATATATTAGAGAAACTCAATATGCAGCGGTTTAAGACGGACAAGAATTTTAAATGTTTGCACTGGGAAATACGGCACAGTCAGGAGATTATAGCAACTTGGCAGAGAATTTGCCAGTATAGGATTTAACTAGGATTTTCTTACTTTATACATTTAAACTCTGCAAATTCCTTTGTATAATGATGTATCTCGGTGTTTTATAAAAGGCATATTTTATACAGTTGCTGTTAGTTACTAATGTGTATTTTCACTTGTTAAAATATGGTTGCATTGATGTGACAAATAATTATGCCCCTGACTGTATGGATAGCAGGTTGGTGAGTACAAAATGATGAATGAATTGGAAGTGGTA